GGATTCTCTGGCTCCGGCCACACTGCTGCCCTTTGACCTCTGCCACCACCAGTCAAGCTGCGCCCACAGACGTTTGGGGCTCACTGAACCCTGAGGAGGGTATGGGAGCCAGACTCGAGCTCTGATCTGGGTGAAGATCCTAACTGGACTCCATAGGAAGCCCGTCTTTTTTAAACAGGAGTGGGCTTGCCTGAGGCCCAGCTGTGTGACCTTGGGCAGGTGGCTCAGCCTCTCTGTGCCCGATTCCTTCACTGTAAAATGGGGATGCGGATGCTAACAGGGTCGACCTCATAAGGTGGTAATGAGAATTCCGGGAGCCTGGCAAGTTCTAAGCACTACACAGTCGTTGGTTACATCAATAAGTTATCTGCTGTTGGCACTTAAAATTGGGGGGTTGGGGGCATTGGGAGTTTCCGCAGGGGAGAGGGAGTTACAGAAGCCATTGGTTCACTGCTCAGATTCTTCACTAGGACTACAGTGCTTGTTGCAGGCTTCTGTCCTCCAAACACTGTAAGGCTCATTGTGTAGTTTGGGGAAAGGAAAGGGAAATGGCGCCTCAGAAACATGGGGGCTGCCAACCGTAAAGGGCAGAGCAATAAATATTTTGCATTGTGCAGGCCTCATGTTCTGTGGAGACTGTGCCATCTGGCCTTTACAGTAACAAAAACCCCAGAGTCAAGTAAACAAATAGGTGTGGCAGTGTCAACAAAATCTCCACTGTGGATACTGAAGTTTGAGTTTCACTTATCACAAAATATTAGTCTCGGTTTGAGTTCTTTATTTCAACCACCTAATGATCTAAAATGCCTGCACAGCTCACAGCCCAGATGTGGCTGCCAGCCAGGTTTGCAGCCCACCTACTCTGGAAAAGCAAGACCTTTCCCCGGAATCCTCATGTGTCCCGGCCTCGCTCAGATGATTCTAGAAATCTTTGAAAGCTCCATGAAATAATAAGCGACTCTGGGCTTGTCGTTGTTACACTTGCTTCTGCAGCTGCCTCCAAAGAAAATACCAACAGGAGCCCTCCGCCTAGCAGTTCACAATCCTTAGCTAATGCTTCTGCAATCCCTGTCCCAAAGTTTAATGTTCAGCCAATTGCCTAGGCCAGGAAATACGAGCCTCTCCCACATCTCCGCCCCAACTCTTCTACCTTGAAATCCCGTGGGTTCTGCTCCAACGATCTCCTAACTCCATCTGGTCATTCCTGTTTTCACAGCCACCCTCAGGCTTGCCACAGGCCTGGGCTCTCCGAGTCAGGGGAAGATGGAACAACAACTATCTCAAACCTTCATTGTCCTGCAGAGAACATCTCACGGTGTCTTTAAACCCACCTCCCCCTCAATATCACACACACACACACACACACACACACACACACACACACACACACACACACCTTTTCTTTCCCACATTAGAACTTTCAAACTTTCAGACTCTGGAACGTGCTTTCTCCCTCTTGTTGGTTTGCTGGGCCTGGGCCTGGAAATTTCTCTCTTTCTAATCTGACTTAACCACTTGTCTTTTCAGCTCTCAGTTTCCCTATCTCTCCCTCTGGGAAACCTTTCCTGTCTGTCATCTGGGGTCATGGCCATCATCACGCCTACACGTGGCTGACTGAATCACAGCTCAGCATACTTCAGCAGATTCTATTTTCCGAGGCTGACACCAACAGCAGCATCTCCCACACTGCCCTCTTCTGCACTGTGGCTTGACACCCCCTCTTCCATAGTGGAGCTCACGTCTCTTCCTCTTGCGTCCAGACAGGGCTTGCAGCTGCCTTGACCAACGCAACAAGGGGGAAGTGACACTGTGCCAATTCTGGGCGTGGCTCTGAAATGGCCTGGCAGCTTCTGCTTCTTGCCTCTTGAAAGCCAGCCGTGACACCAAGACAACCAATCTGGGGGAAGCCTAGGCCTTGTGTGGGAAAGAGATTGAGAGGAGACAAGTGTGCGAAGAGCTGGAGGCCAAGGCCCGGGAGGCACCAGAAATGGAGACAAAGAAACCCTCTTACAAATGAGTCCCCCAGCCGATGCCGCCCTCCAGGATAAGATGTGAACACCCAAACTCTTGACTTCCTGACCCACTGAATTGTGAGCAAATAAAACAACGTTGTAAAGATTCAGTTTCCTGGTAGTTTGTTCCCTGAAGACGGATAACTGGAGCAGATGCTTTTATGTAAGAGGAGAGAGAAGGGTGGACCTTCAAAGTTCTTTGGGCTAACAAAAAATTCTTACAGATCTTCCCTTTCAGAGCTACGTCCATTTACATGTTGCCTCCGAGGGGGCCAGCCAGCCTTCCAGCAAAACTGACAATTAGTAAATTTGATTTGAGAGAAGAAATGCTGTGTCCCTCTGGCCGTAGCAGTAAACTCAGATTCAGGGGTTCTGAAAGGCGCCTCTGCCTCTGTTTCAAGTAGCAGTACAAGGGTAACTTCATAATAATAAAACAGAACAGGAGAGAATGCCTTTGCTGCCCATATTTGCTCTTTTCCACACAGGATTCCCATACTTGGGGGATGTTTTCCGTCTAAAACCTTTCGAAGCTTCCCCTGGGGCTCAGGATCCCCTCCACTTCTGAAACTAAAGCAGGGGTTGAGCGAGAGCTGACCTTCCTTCTTGTCTTCCAGAAGCGGGGACAGGGAGAAGCATAAGGTCAAGGGTGTGTGTCAGGACAAGGCAGGGGATTCTATCTGCAGGCCTCTGTGGGGGGGCGGGGGGGAGGGAGGGGACATACCGAAAAGCTAAATTTCAAAGGAGGAAAAACAAAGGTTGAAGAAGGGTGATATGGGATGTGGGGCGTGGAAAGCGTTGTCATAACAGGGTCCACTGCTGACCTGAGAAACATGACCTGGCACGTGGCACCGTGAGCACTTTCACAGTTATTTGCCCTCCAGATGGAGATGTCAAGCAGAAAGCTGGATTGTGAGTGTGTAGATGCCGTCGGTCCACTTCTGGATCGTGGGGAATATAAGGAAATCTCCACACCAAGATGGCACTGAAAAGCTTCTTCCCTAAATGACTCCAGATATCACCATGATTATCATTAAAGACACCCACTTTATTAATATATTTTACTTGGCGTCTTTTTCTTTTTCCCTCAAAATTTTCAGTTTCCTCTTCTTTATGACTTACTTTCTTCTCAAAGATATGTTTTCTAGCAATACCTAGACAACTTATACATTTCATCACTTGCATTTTTGTTCAAATCATCAGCTCAAAACATTCTTTCTTGAACATTGCTCAGCTTTTGGTAATTTGCCTCCCAGGACAATGTAGGTGCTTTTTGTTAAAGGACAAATATCTGTAGAATATTCCATATTAGGGATTCAGACTCGCTGAACCCAGGAAGTCAGTTTGCTCCAAGTCAGGGGCTGCTTGCCTGGTAAGTGTTAGTTCATGGGGATGGCCAGGGCTTGAGGACATGTAACTATAGCCGGGAAAGATGGGTGTATGGAACTCCCAGTTCCACCCCCGCTGAGCAATCTGCACAGACTCCATTTGATACAGAGGCTACTTGTGAGCTATTTTTGCATAAAACTCACAACTATGTCCTTCTCTGTCTTTCCCCTTGGATGGGGGGAGGAGGGATGAGGGGGCAGTGCCAGCAAAGGGCAGCCTGTCACCCTGCTAAGCTTTCTTGGTCTTTAGCTTTTGCACAGGCTGGGTCTTCTGGTCTCAATGAAGGTTGCTTTCGAGATTGTTGTATTTGAGTTAAAATAAAAGGCTTGTTCAACTTCAAGTTAATGTTATGTGTGCTGAGGTATTTATCGGATGTGGTGTCCTGATATCTGCAACTCTGAATGAGCAAAAAATTAGCAAGCACAGCAGTTGTGGTAACACCACCAGAGTAGATTGATCGACGGCTAAAGAGATGCATAAAGTGATAGATGGATGACCAAGCACAGTAACATAAATGTAGAGACTGGCTGGGGGGCCTCTACAATTACACAATTTAAAATTTTTTTTTCTGTTGTTAATTATCATAATAAAATTTTGACAAAATGATCTGAATCCCGTTTTGGTTTTGAAGGGATTCTAGAATGATACCTGCTTTGCTTGCTTCCTTTGATTCCCACTCTGGCTCCTTATGTGCAGTGGAAGTCAGTGGACTTCTGCTGAACAGGGTGGTTGAACTAAATTCCAAGCTGGCAGGATTCCTCTCGTGTATGAGCTGGCAAATGTATTATGTGAAGGGTCGAGAGTACATACTGGAGGCTGTGCAGACACTCAGTCTCTGTCAAACGACCCAGCTGAACCAGTGCGAGGCAAAAGCAGCCACCTACCACAGAAAATAAGCAGGCATGACTGTGCTGATCAAGTTTTTTACCAAAATGGGTGGTGGTCATAGTTTGCCAACCTAGACCCCATATCCTTATCTGTAACTGAAATAATGGGAGTGAAATGGACCGGGTGCCAACAGACTATGAAAAAATTTCCTAAGTGTCAGGAAAGGCGGTAACACAGGAAATTATAAGCTTCTCAGGTCCCCCCACCCCCCTCACCCATCCCCTTCATGAGGAACACAGCTGTTATCCCACCTGTGGGCTTCATGTTCAGCACGCAGGACCCTTACAAGAGGTGACAGACTCCTCTATGATGCTATGAGCTGTTCACACCGGGCCCCAGCCTCCCAGGAGCTCATTGGGCACGAGCAGGGATAAGGCGGGGGGGGAAGGAGAGATGCCCTAAAGAAGGGGAGCCCTTGCAGAGCTTTGGGCATGTTAAGGGGGACGCGTTTATTTCCTATTTCCGACTAGAGATGGAATCAACTACGAGCCTGAACTTCAAGGGAGAAGACCTGATTGCAACTCGGTGTCCTAAGCATATAGATGCTGTGTAAAGAAATCAGGCAGAAGTCAGAGGTTCTCCTCTCCCCTCCCCCCCCCCAGCGATGAATCCCATCAGATACTTTGTCAGTCTAAAAGTGGAAGTATCACTGCTCCATAGTGAACAAGCTTGTTTACATCCTGCAGTGAAGTCACCCCAAGGCGCCTCCCCACACAGGCTGCTTGCTTGCTCAAGGCTGGCATGAACAGCTTTAGAGAACATTCCTCAGGGTCTCACTGGCTAGAGGTGCCAACACAGACTGTACTTCTAGCGAATTAAATCACATAATCAAATATCAGGTTGACAAAAAGTTAAAATTCAACTAAGACCTGCAAAATATAGAGCCAAAGAAAGGTCCAGGAGAAATAGTTGAGGGCGTTGATGAATAGAATATGTAAACCAATATGTTATTTTGACTTAGGGGAGATTAGCTGCTCTTGAGTGGCTCAAGTCCCAAGAAGGGTTGGAAATCCCAAGAGACTGTGACCAGATGTTTCAGGAACTACACCACGTCTTCCCTCCCCTCCCCTAAGTATACTTTGTCTTCTAGAACTGACCTTCTGCTATGCTACCATATAGAAACAGTGGGTAGACTTAATTTATTTGGCCAGGTTGCTGGGTCACTGTTGCTCTTCTTCATCCTCGGTGTCTCAAATGACTCCTACTTTATTCCTAGAGAGTGCAGAGATTTGAAATCTATCAGTGACTTATCTGCTATCAGGGCATAATCTCCCTTCTTTTGAATTCTTCTGAAGGACTCTGCCCTCCCCCAGATTCAGTTTCAAATACAAATACTAAAAATACCTCTGTAAACTATTTTGTACAGCCTGCTACAATTCAATCTATACGTGTGGTTTCCCTCCTGGAGACGTGGACTCCTTCCATGCTGTGTGCCAGCCCCTAACAGGGACTTCAGCTAGGGGATGTTCTCAGTAGGCCTGGATTGGATGAACAGATAGAAATGATGTCCACACTGTGTCCCATCAAAAGACTACTTCTTAGAAACTCAGTAGCTTTGCTCTCCTCCGCCAACACAAGATCTCAATCCACCAGAGATATTCGCCAGGAAGAGCAAATGGCCAACTTTTTCTAATTAGCACAGGTGGCCAGCGCTGTCAGAGTGTGGTTCCTCTTCTTGGCTGTACACATCAGTCTACCACAAGCCATGAGATGGTCTCACATATGTCCAGCCCAGGTGCACCAGAGAAAAGGTGGACTGAGCGAAGCCAGTGGTGGCAGTGTCTCATGGCATCCAGTGACACCATGCCTGCTCGCTGGTCTGTCACACATCAGCAAAATCCAACTCTGCACCTTTTCTGCATGTTTTAATCATTTAAGCTGTGGAAGTGTGTTCTTTTTCTGTCACATTAGCTGTTTTTCCCTCCCTTCTACCCGCCAGCCTCTCTTTGTCTAAGTGTTGAGTTGAAGTTTTCATTGCTTATTCTCTGAGCCCTTTGGCGTTACCTCATGGTTTCCTGGCTCGTGTTAGAGAAGTCAGAGTCAGGCGTGGGGTTTGGCCAAGTTTTTTTTCTTGTCATTTCCAGCTTAGAGCTCTATAAACAAAGGCCGTGTTATCACACGGTCCCTGGAGCTGCTAGGAAAGGCAGGAGCTGTAATTATCAAACTTGGAACCTTTGTGAAATATGCTTTTGTCTCCGTTTCGGTTGTGCTCAATCAGATCAACAAGTGTTGGCTAAGTGTTGAGCGTGGTTTCCTGTGGGATTGTGCAAGGCTTTGCAGGACAATAAAGGTTTGGGGGGCAATGAGTAATGAGGCCATTTCTGACCCAGGCACCGGGAACATGTGAGCCAATTTGCTGCTGCAAGAAGAACAGCTGGGCCTGTGTTCCTGCAAGAGCAACTTCACAAGGGGACCCCGGCAACGGAACAGGTGCAAATGGTGCGTGTAAGTGGCAGGTGGCTACGCGTCCTTGTCGCTGACAGGAAGCTGGGTTTGGGTCAGGTCTCTTGGAATCTGAAATTTACAAAAGGTGGGGCACTCACTTTACCAACAACAAAACCCCACAAACCTACGAATGGGTCATTGCTGGGGCCACCTGCAGGGACTTTGAAAAGGACCATGTAATTAAGGGGCCTGCTATGGTTTCTCTGTAAACTCACGCTTAGCTCAAAGTGTCCTCCAAGGACGCCGTCAGACTGTGTGTCCACCACCGCGGCTCCGTTTGGGTCATTTCCTCTGCTGACTTTCCCCGTGCTGTTCTTGAGGTACTGCCCTGCTATCACTTTGCCCATGGGCCTCATAACTGCTTCCCAAAAGACAAAGAAATGCTATTTATATCTCCTTTTCATTACCTGCATTTTTAGGATGTCATTTTAGCTACAAAAATGTGTTCTTAGGTTGCTGGAGTGTCCTGAAATCAGTCTTGGGGGTATTCTAGATGTGATGGGGGGTGGGGGGTGTTGAACCAGACTTGCCTCATATCCATATCATTTGGAAAGTTCTGGACTGTGAAAGGTTGTACGCTATAATGCAGTCTAGCTCAGCACTTAAACCCTCACGCACAGAGATCACCTGTGGACCTTGCTAAGATGCAGATACTGGGCTCTAGGCGGGGGTGGGGCCTGAGGTTGTGCATTCCTAAAGAGTTCCTGGGTGATGCTGATGTTGCCAGTCCAGGGGCCCCACATTCAGGTACTGAGGTGTCTGAGATCTGGTGGCACAAAGACACCCAATAAGGGACTGGTTTGAGCTTGATTTGCAGGTCACCAGTCCCAGGATCAAACACTGGTAACGGGCCCAAGCACCAGGGACGTGCTGACGAGAGGCTTACCTCCCGTAATCTCCTTTCCGCAGGAGTTGGGGGTCTGGGGGGGAGGAGTGAAATTTGATTACTGAAAACATTTGATTACTGAGGGTCATTGTTTTCTTCTGTTTTTAAGCTTTGCCATAGTCTCTTTTTAAACTTTGCCTACCTCTTTTTAACTTCTTTTAAACTTTATGAGGGCTGGGAGCACAGGTTTCTGTAACATCCAGTTAGTGCTCGGCAGGGTACCGCCATTTTTCTGGCCTCCTCACCTCCCTTGTTTCACTCCTTCACAGATGGGGAAGCTGAGGTTTAGCGGTTAAGTAACACGCAGGTTGCACACTGAGAGCAGGGATTGGAAGCGTGGGGTTCGCCCACACCGACCTGTGTCACGCCAGCAGTCTTGTGTGTTAATCGGATTCTGCAAGAGATATTACGATGTTAGGATATTAAGATGTGGATTTAGCACTTGATGCTTTGTTTCCGAGGGAAGGTGTCTGTGGCAAAGGGAGAGGGCAGAAGAAAGTGGTTACTGAAAGGAAGGCAGAGTTTAGAAAAGGCTCCATGAGGCACTGAAGATGAATTTCACCCCCAAGGCAAGTTTTAGCTTTGGAATTGGCTCTGGGGTTCTCGCCTCATCTGTGCCAAGATGGCATTCCCAAAGTGCCAACTGTGTAAATTCACTTTAGAAGAATGAAGGTAGAAACTTCCAGATGTGAGTGTCAAGGTTAATGGGATTCTGTCCACGACACGGCCAAGTCAACTGCAGCTGTTTCTCCAGCCTGTGCTTCACTGAAGAGAATTGTCGGATTCTGTGGCGCTGGTAAATGTGTTCTTGGGCAGCATCTTCACACATATTTTTGAAGCACTCTACCCGATTCTGAGTGAAACGTTGTTCCTGTTTTACTTACCCTCCGATTGTGTTCAGTTATTTAGCAGGAAGATAAGCAGGTCTGGCTTGGGCACCCATTTGAAGATCAACTTTGTCCTGGCAGCGGTGGGGGGGGATCCATTTTCTCCTTTCAGAGCCCCCACACTTGTCCTTCCCACCATCCTCCCTCTACACCTTCCACACAACATGTGTCACTTAAATATGTTGACGCTTATCAAAATCGTGAACTAAATGACACATCTCATAAGAGAGGATATCCTGTAAAAGGGTACAAGAATTGGGCCCTCCCTGGTGGTGCAGTGTGCTAAAGCGCAGCACGGCAAGCTGGCTGTAGCCACCTCAGTGCAAATTCAATCTCCGCCCAGGAGCTGACCCACATGGCATGGCAGACCTCTCCTGTCTCCCCACTGCTCCCCTCAGCAGTGCACCTCGTCAGTCTGCCTGTTCTACTCCCCACTCTGCCTCTGGTGGATCCTCTCACCACCCCTGTACCCCATATCATGATTGTTAAGACTAAAGCTCTGAAGGTGCCATCCTGAGCCAGCCAGGGTCTCTTCTTGGCTGAGAGGGCTCTGCCCAGCCCGCCTAAGTATTCCGACCTCCTCTTTCTCCCCACCCCACTGCCTGGGCACCCACAGAACATCTACCGGTTTGGGAGGTTGAGCGTTCTTACATATGTTCAAGACGTGCACTAGACATTTGCTACTTAGCACTGCTTGGGGGTGGGGGGGGTCCTGCCGAAAGAGTATTTGTAGGTTCCACCTTCCTGACATTTCCAGTGACGTTCCCTTGCGTGGGTGTAGTAAGACGCAAAGCTGCTCGCCTGAAGCCCCTGTGGTATGTCCAATGGACAGACTCCTTCAGTCCGCTTACTGCCCTGAGGGTGTGGACAGCACCCTAAGCAGGACACCAGAAGCCTGGCTGTGTGTCTGAGGTCACAACTTTGGGGTCCTGGCTCAGGCATGTGGACTGTTGGCGCTGAGTGGTGCATCTAGGTGCTGGTTCTAGAGGCCCGACCAACTTCAATAGCTGATGGCACTTTCCTGCATATAGCTTCGAGCCTCTTCTGGTGCAGAGCTGGCTGTCCTTCGCTGACATGGTCCGAGGGTGTGGCGTGAGGAGTAGCGTGCCCAAATTCAAGTCCTAGCATTCTCCTACCCCCACACGGCGGGGCCTAGGCCGCTTGCTTATCCATTGCTGTTCCGTCAGCTATAAACCAGGAATGAGCTCGCACTCTGCCTCTGTGGGTGCGACTTACCCTGTAGGATGGGGGAGTCACGACCCACCCATACGGTGGTTGGGACCAGTAATCATATCCATATTTCTCAGGACCTTTAACAGAACCTGGCCCATGGCAAGCTCTCCTTAAATGTTGACAAGGACCCAGTTTTTTATGTGCTCCCTTCTGTAACCTCTGTCTCGGCTATAATTTTTCCTTCCTTGGGCCTTGTGTAGCAAAGAGAATGAACTCTGCTCTAACACCACCTGTTCTTCTTTTATCCTTTTCTGTTTGAGTCATGCCTCAGTGTCACAGGCTGTCTGGTGCTGTGGGAAGGCTTGTCATTTAAGTCACAGAAAGCAAAGAGCCATGCCCTATCTCGGTCACCCAACAGCAAGCTGGAGCTGAGAGCCAGGAAGGGACTCGGCCCGGGGCCCAGCTCATACAGGCCTTCCTGGTCCACCACTCCACAAAGAAAGGTGCATGTTCCCTTGTTAGGAAATGCCTCTCCAGACCGCTTCGTTGTCACTCGGGGCAGTGGAGAACTGACCTGCCTTTCAGGAACCGGCACTCAATGGCGGGCACGCTGGAGGCTTAGAATCAAGGGAGCCAAGCAGACCCGCGGACTTGGGCTCTGCCCTCTGGTCACGCTGCTTCCCCGTCCACCCTAATCACCAGGGTGGTGCCAAGCTCTGCATGTTCAGCACGCACACACTCTGCGTGTTGCAGTGACATAGTGGCTGTGGGTCTCCTTATAAAACATACATATTGACTTGTGCCAGGTGTACTTTTTTTCCTCTCCCACATCTTAATCTCCTTCTTGCTTATGGAAATGGGCAGCCTGGGCTATTTGGTAAGCAAATTGCTGTGTTTATTCTATGTAGGTGGCAATAGGAGAGGCCAGCCAGATCCCACCAGCAACTCTATGGAAATAGAGTTCTAGTCCATGCTGGCCAGGTTTAGGGTCTCATTTTCTTTTGAACGCTTTTTTTCTTCTCCTGTACCATCCTAACTGAATGCCCCTGAAAGAAGGAATGGACAGAGCCCAGTTGACTAGTCTTTAGGCAGGTCTCGGAGGCCACCGTTGACAATTGTCCTAACACAAGGCAGAAAACATATTCCTAGACATTACTCAGACTGATGAAGGCTCCTCTATGAAGAGAGGCCACAGGAACACCTCAATTTAGAATCTAGGTTCACCTGGAAAGAGAAGTGCAGGGGAGGGGCAGAAGCAAATGGAAGAAGGCAGGTCCAAACCTGAGCAGGAAGCAGGTGTTGGCTTGGAAGAAACTTAGTGGGGGTGACCGAAGTGTGACTCATCAACATGGGGTTCTACAAGTTTATTAGGAAGCTTAGGAGTCAGGCTTAGGGAGTGGGACTTTGAACTCCCAAGGCTTGTGGCCCCAGCTCCTTGTTGCATAAGAACAGGTGACACACCCATAGCACAGTGTGTGAACTCACTCTTGTGGAAATAGACTCAGGCATGTATATTTTGGAAAAAACCAAGAAGTATGTTCACCAAAATGGAGCCGTTTTCAGACACAACATGCACAAGCTTTTGGAGAGTTGATACGTTCAGACTTGGCCCCTGTCTTTCTCGTCAGTCTTCTCCTCTCAATACACAGAAGCAACTTTGTGAATTTCACTGTCAGTGGTTTCTATGACTTACCATGTGACTTGTTTAGCTAACATGCTCCCAAACCATCTTTAATGTGATGACTGCAAACGTTTTACAAACGGAGCTGGAAATGGCCTTAGACATTGGGATTCACACTTTTAAGACACTGTTCTTAGTGTTACAAACAGGTTCAGCAGCTGAAAGAAATTTGAGAAGTAAACTGTCTACCCAACGAAGCAGATTATCTGGCTACTGCTCTGCTTTGAAGAATATGTTTTAGCTGTGGATAAAAAAGAAATTTGAGAAGAACTTTCTCTCTTTGCTTGCTTAGTTCAGGTTTTAGTAAAGAAATGTCCAAGGAAAAAGTCTTCTGCAACTATATCCAATGTGGGATGGCTCCCCCAAAGCTCACTTCAACTCATAAAATGTAGAACCTCCTTAGTTTCAATATACCTTCAAAAAATACTTTCCCAGCCATAGCCTTTAGGTGTGCAAAACAATCTTATCAGGACAGGTGTGTTGCTGAGTTTTCTAATGGAGAGAAAGGTAAAAGGTAGACATGCTACCTGCCTTGCCAGGTCCTACCTAGTTCCTCACACCCTCATCTCTGCCCTGTCTTTGAGTCCAGGGTGAGGAAACCAGTGACTGACAAATGGTCCCCACTGTGCTCAAAAGAAACCCATTTTGCTTTTGCGAAAAATTGCCACCCTTTTCCCCAGATAAAACAATATCGAAAGCAAAATGTGACCAAGACTTTAGTATATTTAATAGATAAGACTTCTACTGCTCGTGCCTATCAATCAAACGATGCCCTAGGAGAACATTTGAGGGATGCATAATCTCCCGACTTATGAAAGTAAACCATAGCAGTTGTCTTTCTTGCTCTTCCTTCCTAGAGCGCAGTGGTTCGTGTCAGGAGGCGAGCTGGCTGGGCCTGGCGGAGGTTTAACTCAGTGCCAGGTGGTCCCTTAGTCTCCTTTTCTTCCCACTCTCCTGCCATAGTGTTCCATCAGATGTGGCCTAGTGCCATGTGCCTGCTGCTGACTGGGCAGAGTCACTTGATCCCCCTCCTTCCAGACAGGACCAGGCCTATGTGGCTGCTTCCTGGTGGAGAGTGAGATATAAATGCAAATAATTTCTTCTTAATGCACGACCCTGCAGAGCCAGAGGGACTGTGAGTGATGGTACCTCCGAGCGATAACTTGCTTAGAGCTTAAGAGTCAAAGTTAAGGACCCACCAGTTCACTGGTTCAATCAAGATAAGGTGAGTAAAGTTAGTTGTCTTCAGATTATCCATAAACAGAGAAGGATAGGAATTATTGTGTATCTGACTACAAATAACTATGTGATTTCACAAAGCAAAGAGATGAATGTTTATCTCTTGTGGCTTACATCTTTACATTAGCAGACTGAGGCTTAAAGCAACCATTTTAGTAGAACCAGAAAACTATTGTACTTATTTTCCAGAAATACCTTAAGTTTTAATGTTTTACAATGTCAGGAGGAAAAGCAAGAGTGTTTTTGTTTATTAGCACCAATGATTTTTCAAGTTTTAAAATCTCTTTTGATAGCAATTTTAAAAAAATGTTCTAGTCTCAGAAATTGTGAAAATTGTACCCATGTCCCTTATGTTAAAGATCTTACTGTGATCGGGGTCGTGGGTGTCATTTATGATGGTATGTGTTTCAGTAGTTTGGCTAATTTGCAAACAACTGGCTGCCTTAATAGAGAGAAATTTTAGTTGACCCATTACTTCATACACGGTGAGTTGTCTGGAGTTTCGCATTTTAAAATTTTGATGACATCCAATTCATCTCAACAAATTCCTATAGAATGTGAGGGAATAAGGAGAATTTGGATGAGGTGCTTTAGAGGGTAATGCAAATGGTGACTGTATGAAGTAGAGTGGGAGTTAAGTACACGCATAAAATGCTATGAAAACCAACATATTTATAAAAGTGAAAGCCAAGGCAAGGTAAAAGAATGTGTATTGAAGAACCTGCTTAGTTCGACTTTCCGCTATAATCTTAAACTTGTCTCATTAAGAAAAAAGTATTATTTATATTATCTCTGAATGAGAAACATTTGACTTAAAATTATGGAAACTAAAAGAACCCAGCTAGATGCTGCAATACTCATTTTGTTTTATTTTGTTTAGGACGACAACATGAATACAAAATCCATTCTAGAAGAACTTCTTTTGAAAAGGTCACAGCAAAAGAAGAAAATGTCACCAAGTAATTATAAAGAGCGACTTTTTGTTTTGACCAAAACGAACCTCTCCTACTATGAATATGACAAAATGGTGAGGCCTCAAGTTTCCATACTACTTATTTTCTCAAGTCTCCACGAAGTGCTTTGTTATAATGAAATGATGCTGGATTTCTTACCTTACACAGTAAAGACCAACTTGCATTTGCTTATCCCATTGTCTGTTCTTAACCCATGTATAATTAATTTAAGATAAAGATAAAAAAAAAAGCAAAGGAACAAAGCCAAACAAAACAAAATCAAGCTCTTAAAGATTTTGACAACAGAATAATGGTCCTCAGAAGGGGAGGGGGTGGGAGAGGATAATGGGGTTGGGGGGGGCAACTGTCGGGTGGAGGGTGGAAGTAGATTTGTGGTGAGGACCACAGCGTAGTGCAGACACATGGGGGTATACAGCCTGACACGGTGCAGCGCTATAAACCAAGGTAACTTCAAAAAAGATCAAGGATTTTTAAAACATTGGTTAACTTTACTAAGGCAAATTGTAACTTTCAAACAATGGTTCTCAAAGGAGGGTGATTTTGCTCCCCGGGGCATTTAGCAGTGGCTGGGGACACTTGGGTTGTGATCATTTATGCAGGGGAGGATGAAACTGGCACCTCTGGGCAGAGAGCAGGGATGCTGTCGACCATCCTACAAATGCACAGCACACCCACCACTGCTAACGATCTGACCCCAAAATAGTCAAAAGATGAGAAAACTGATCTGAACACAATGCTGCAAATAAGACCACTCTCTGTCCCGTGAGAATTCTGTCACCATAGAAGTATTGCCACTGAGTGAAACCACGATGAAGATGCTTCGAGATGTTACAATGTGATTTTTCTGAGTAGATGAATTACATGGCAGGGGGTTTAAAATGTATTTCAAGATTGTCAGAAGAATTATTAACTGCTGCTTAAGTCCTGGCTTTCAGAGAAGTATTTGAGCTTACACCCACACCAAAAGAAATATAGTCTGTTGTCACTGGATTTTGACTACTAAGAAATAAGTGGAAGTGACTCTCCCATGCCTGCCCATCTCCTCACCTCCCTCCCCAGCACAACCTTGTTTTCCTTCCTGCTCTGGTGTACATCATATGAAGCACCTTGTATTCTTGTATTTGCTTTTTCATTCAGAAAAGAGGCAGCAGAAAAGGAATGATTGAGATCAAGAAAATCAGATGTGTGGAGAAAGTAAATCTTGAGGAGCAGACCCCTGTGGAGAGACAGTACCCATTCCAGGTAAGGAGGAGAATGTGCCATTGGGTGAATGGCTCTTTTTTGTTTTGTTTTGTTTTTGTTTATGCATCCAGAACTGGAGTACAGGCCAGAGGTGCAGGGGCAGTGAGAGGATTCACCAGAGTGAATCTGAGAGGATTCACAGAGTAGGGAACAGAACAGCCAGGTCGATAAACTACACTGATGAGGGGAGCAGCGGGTGAGACAGGAGTGGTCTGCTGCGTCATGTGGGTCACCTTCCTGGGATCAAATTTGCACTGATGTGGCTGAAGCCTGCTTTGTAGTGCTTTAACTCACCGCGCCACCAGAGAGGCTCTGAATGGCTCTTCATTCAATCTATCTGCGATAGACAGTGTCAACACTTAGAACTTTGGCAGTCAGGCATTCCGCTAAAATTCCATCCACCAATCTGCCTTCCCTAGTGGGAAAGGAAGGCAGAGTGTATGGAAGCTACCAGTGTCTGACCTGCCTTGGGGTCTGACCGTCTCTTTCATCAAACATTGCTGTGCACGTCTAATGTCCTCCAAGGTCTGAAGTCCACTGCAAGGACATCCCTTCCCCAAGTGTTTCCAGATCTTTATAACATGGTGAGCGGGAGAGTTAAGACGAGGGTTAGCAGAGTGCATCATGGCCCCCCGTAGCAGAAGGTACACTCCTTACCCCAAAAGGTCGAGGAGATTTTTCCACTGGAGGTGATACGCAGGTTGGGAAGGACAAGTAGAGTTTAGCCCAGCTACACCAGGAAGGACAGCGACCCCAAGGACAGCAGATGGCAAGGTGCTGATGGAGGAGGTGGTACGGGCTACTCCAAGCATCGCTGAGACAGAAGTAGCCCCATGCAAGAATGAAAGAGATGAGGCTGGAAAGGCGGGCAGGTGTCCCTCATGACAGCCTTTCCACAGCATGCCAAGGTTACAACACCCTAAAGTGTTGTAACAATGGTACCCAATGGAGAAGGTGCCCACATACCCCCGGGAGAGGATTGATTGTACACAGGCCCTACTTGGATGAGGTCATCAACACTTATCTTCCCGATCTAAAGGCAGATGGTCCTTCAGAAGGTCAGACTCCCCAGTGCAAGTCTGAGAGAACTGAGGCCCAAAACCAAATTCAATAATCCAGTCAATGAACAATCCATACTTGCCATTTGTAGAGAAAACATCACCCCATTGGGAGAAGCCAGGGGAGTATCAGCAATGGAAGATGCCTCCAATTTGTATCACAGAGGCACTGGGGGCTCAAACGGGCTTTTTGGGAGCCCCACTGCTTACCTTGGGTCACCAGAGCCAGAAACTCTCTCCAACTTTGTTTTTTCATTTTCACAATGGGTGTAGTCCTGTATTTGTCATAGTTGAAATAAGATTAGCTCATTAAATCCCTCCCTGGTGGCACAACAGTTTAAAGCACAGCACTGCAAGCTGACCGCAGCCGCCTCAGTGCGAGTTCAATCTCCATCGCCAGAGGTGACCCACATGGCACGGCAGACCACTCCTGTCTCACCCGCTGCTCCCCTCAGCAGTGTACTATGTCAATCTGTCTGTTCTGCTCCCCACGCTACCTCTGGTGAATCCTCTTACCAACCACATCTCTGGCCTGTACCCCAGTTCTGTATATGTAAATAAATGCATCTTTTAAAAAAAGATTAGATCATTAAAGTAGCTAGGCGAGAGGCCAGCCACTAGTAGTGTTTACTCCATGGTCTTAATTATTTATCCACAGGATTGAACATAGAAGAGAAGGATTTGGGGAAGACATTGTCATGTTCAAATGCTGACATAAATGTCTTAAGGAATAGAAAATGACTTATGTTCCAGAAGCTTGCAATCTGCTTAGGCAGGTCATACTCTCCAAAGAAGCTGCTGAAAGCAAGGAAGGGTGTAATTTTGCTGGGACTCGCAGAGTGGGGCATAGTAGCTGAAGGGGCAAAGGTAACGTGAAGCCACGCTTTCACTCAGTAGAAGCGTGAACTCTATTGCGATCAGAACATATAGAAACTGGCACGGGTGCATCACAACACGCCAGGCCGGTCCACCTCCAGAGACCAGTTAGCGTTAAGCACAGAAGGGAGAGACATTTTCCAAAAGCTGGAAAGTGAGTCAGGCACCCGCTATGTGGATTAACCATGACATTCTTAAGAGAACTGTGCAGCTTGACATTTTTATATTGTCTAATTCTCCCTGATCCTGGGCATCCTGGCCGACACACTATTCCTGCAGTCAGAAGCATTGTTCCTGCCATTTGCCAAGGTGTAGAGGTTTCTGGGATAAAAAAAATTGAGAGGCAGGGGATAAAAATAACTAGATGTTTTTGTCTAATTCCAGAGCTAACAAGTAGTCTGTGAGCAAAGTCTGCATTTTGTTTCATTAACAGAAAATCTGTAGGGGCGCTATGATGCAATTATACTTCCATGCACCAAATCTTGTCCTTTCCAGATTGTCTACAAAGATGGGCTTCTCTATGTCTATGCGTCAAATGAAGAGAGCCGGAGTCAGTGGTTGAAAGCATTGCAAAAAGGTAATTTTTAAAAGGCATAAAGGGGAATTATGAGTGGTGTCTTTTGAGACTTGGTGGCAGAAAAAGAACCTAATGTGTTGGGAAAATCTCCTGATTTGCCTAACGACCTCGGAGGCTGTGTTTTGCTCGTCCTCGTTTTGCAACGTCTTTGTGACAGTAGAAGCCAGTAAGGATTGAATTTCTAGGTCCAATTCCCTTCCCACTTGGCACAGAGCCCGCTATTGTGCTTTCCAGCAGGCTCCACCTGCTTGTCTCCCCCTGCGCTGGCCTCTCCCAGTGCAAAGTGAAGATCCTTGTGGGACAGTGACAGGTCCTGTGGCTACTGGCCTTTGGATGTTTACAGAAAGCCCAGAAAGTTCTGGCTAATACTAGCTCTTATCAATTTCCAGTTACTGTGCCAAGAACTTGTAAAACATTTTTTAAGGTAATATTCTCCATGGAGAGCCATGTGGCTCTGGGGCCTGGCTGGTCTCTCCTGCCTCTCCCTGGAGACCATGTAATTTGGTTACCCAAACCCAACTTTGTCCAGTAAAACTGCCAGGCAGAACTGGGGCTCTAGTGAGGGTCTTCTTCAGTGACGCTGCCTTTGGTGGGAGAGAGTGGTCGTTCATAATCTGGTACCATGGTGCTTCTTCCCACAGCCCTTCTCTTTTAAAGGTGGGTAATGGTCTGAGGACCATCCTTGACTCAGATCTAATCTCCAATATGAAGCTCCCACATGGGGCCAGATTTTATTTGAGCTTTCAATGCAGTTCTCGCTCAGCACACTCTAAACTGCACCCTCGACAGTACCTTACCCACTGCGGTGCAAATACACCCCTTTCCACACAGAGGGCCTACGCTGCCCTGGCATCGAAGGATGAGCCTGCTGCTCCGCACGCCAGTCAACAGGCTGGGCAGGATGGCAGCCTCCCTCCCGCCACCAGCAGTTTGCCCCAGTGAGAAGGGCGTTCTAAGAGTGGGACAATCCTGCCTCCAAGTCACAGAGCTAAATATTCTTGTGTCCTTGCTGTGTCTTCTGATGAAACCCTCCACCGTCCCGTCTTCTGAGCTGAGTGGCAGACTGCATGTCCCATCTCCCAGCGCCATCGTGGGCCACAATTCAACGAGGCACAAATAATGTTCGAGTGTCCTACACACACACGTGGATTACTGGGGCGTGCAGGCAGAGCCCTGATACACGGCTTTGCACTCGGCGTCCTTGGGGGATTTCTCGAGGGCATTGTCTGAAAGGACAGTGGCAGGGTGCAGGTACTGTCCTTTGTGTGACCTTTGTGAACAGTCTACGGAAGGCAGGTTCAGGTGGGTCCTGGGCAGCTTGTGTGACCACAGGTGAAACATAAGAAAACACAAGTGAATTGTTTAGCCCTTCCTAAAACAGGGGGAGACCCTATCACTGGGGCTGCCTCCTGCACAGGAAGCAATTTGTGTCCATTAGTAATGCTCTGGGGTACAGGTAGGCACCCTCAAACTGTTGATGAAATGTAACAAGTAACAAGCCCAAAGTGGGCGGTCTGGGGGTACTGCGGTAGCAGAAGAAGTCAGCAGGGACTCTGACTCCTGTGTGCTTGATGCTTTGCCACCATCAGTCTCCCAGACAGTCTCTGGCCTTCTTAGAAACTTTCTGCCCTTGTCTCTTTGGGCAGAAACAAAGCTTCCCCCACTTGCATTCTCTCCCCTGTAGAGTCTCACGGTGTAGAGGCCCCTCTCTCCTCTTTCATGTCTATTATTTGACTCAGGAATTAGAAACTGAGGTTGACATTGCAAATGGAGAATTTTCCAGATGGTATCCCACACTGGGAGGTTTGTGCTGATTCAGAGGGAACTTAAGAAGTATCGGCGACCATGGTTCTGAATTCAGCTGACCAGATGTGGAGGGTAGGTCTCCCTTTTTGTGAAAATGAAAACTGAAACGGGCTTGGCAGGGCCTCCACATCTGTGCATTGGGAAGGAGTGGAGGAATCTTGGGGCTGATCTCAGATACCCTAGATCTATGAACTTGAGCCAGCTAGACCCCCTCCCTGCACCTCAGTTTACCTGACGGTCAGCCATGGTGACAATAACAGCTCCCCCTAGGTTGCTGAATAGATGAAACGACATGGCCTGTGTTGGAGGGGGCAGCGTGGGAGAGGTCCTCAAAGGTTAAGTCCAAACACCTACTAGGATGTGAGTTCCTCCTCTTGCCGCTAACAGACAGTGGGAGTATTGCAATGTGGACAAGGTGGAGAAGAATCAGCTACCCGGAAAACTATGTCCATGTAGCAGATCTTAGAGGGCAGGAAGGCAAGCCCTGCACCCCAAGAGTTACAATGGCAACTTGGGACCAAAGCCAGGATCTGCTCTTTTGTCATCTGAACTCATTTCGCAAGGTCTATAATAATCCCCCAGTGATTCCCATGAGTAGGTAGTGACCTTTTGAGTTGCCAGGGTTCCTAGCTAACCTGAGCCCAGTTATCCTGAGGGAAGTGAAGCCACTGTCTACCACATGCCTGCTCTGGGCCAAAGCCTTTGCAGGGCGCTTCCCATATCCTATCTCTTCTCCTGCCAGGGACCCCAGAAAGTGGCTGCTATTGCCTCTGTACACACTCCTGAGCCAGGGCGGTAAGGGAGGAGCAGCATCCCCTGGGAGCCAAGTGAGGGAGCCTCGAGGGGAGCATCCAGAGGGAAAGCGCTGACACCCCACATAGAACCTGCCCTCTCCACCTAAAGACTCTGAATGATTCTCTTCTTACACCTCGGAGGTTTCTCTGCTGTACTCGGTGCAGACACAATGTCACAAGCAATATTTGTGCTTCATTTCTTTGGATTAAACATTGCCCAAATCCCAAGGCTGTTAAAAAAAATTGCCCGAGTCCCAATCTTCCTACAAAAATCATCCCATAAACCATTCATTCCTCAGCCCAACGACATGGCAGACAAAGAAGAGACGAGAACAGTCATGGGAAACTAATGTCACGTGTGACTTTAGATTGGCTCCTCGGTCAGATAAAGAGGACTGACTATGAGGGAGACTATTGGAATAATTAGGAAAAAATTGAATTAAAATAGATATTAAATAATTATATTGTATCAGTGGTAAATTTCCCAAATTTCATAATTGTCTTATGGTTATAGACAACAGTCTTTGCAAGCACAGGTTACATGCTGAAGTATTTATGGATGACATGATTTCACAATATCTGCAATTTACTTTCAAATGGGTAAGCCAAATATAATAATGATGTTTATATAATAGTATGTACGTACAGAGAGAGAGAGGTAGAACAAACTTGGCAAGCAGTTAAAAATTAGTGCATCTGGATACTTCAAAATAAAATTGGGGGGGAAGCATAGGTTTATTCGAAACCTATATCACATATATACGCTATGATATATATTTAATATCACATAATATGTAGTTAATATATATAAATCTCTTCTTCTAACATTCAGTCCTAGCCTGCAACCTCCTTCTGCCACAAGAGAACACCAAGGACCATTTACTTCTAAACTCCTAACACCCAGCTAATCTGTATGTGCGTCTTAATTGGTCTTGTTTTACGTCGATGCCAGTTACTGTACTGTTCTCCCAACATATGTGATTCGACTTTTCTTGTTGGCTTTTCCCTTCCGAGTGAAAAGCTGACATCCTTTAGGAATCCTTTGCTCTGACCCTGGTTGCTGGCAAGGTGAGACTGTCACTGTTGTGGGATAACAGCCCCTACTGAATGTGTCTCTTCTCTCGGGCCAATGTTCGCTCACACCCTGTCTTCTTCCTGCCTGCTCCCCAGAGATCAGGGGCAACCCGCACCTGCTGATCAAGTACCACAGTGGGTTCTTCGTGGACGGGAAGTTCCTGTGCTGCCAGCAGAGCTGCAAAGCGGCCCCGGGCTGTACCCTCTGGGAAGCATGTAATGTCACCCCCTGCTGGGCTGGCCGCGGGTGGGTGGGGCCCCATCAGGCAGCTCCACCAGCCTCCAGAGCTGTGCCACTTCAGGAAAATAGGGTGTGCCAGGTCGGTTGGCACCTGGAGAATCTGGCCGTGACCATGCGAGCTGGCAAATGAGGTCCTGCTGCAGTGTCAACAGAACCACAGGCGTTAAACTAAGAATATTAGAATCTGACCATCTGACCTTTCGTAAGAGATATTTTTAAAATTGGAATCATGAATCAAGCCAGGAGCTATTTATTTCCCACTACAAGTCTTCCTGGTTGAAGAAAAAGTCCAAAGAGATAAAATGCAGGGAACTTATCACCGTGGTTCAGAAACTGAAAACAAACTAAAAAACAAGTTGGCATTCTTTGAAAATTATGCTGAACACTAAGACGTCAGTAACAGTTTTGTCGCCACATGTGCCGCAGGAAGGATGGCCAAGTCTTGAAAGTTCCCTGTAAAGGGTAAGCGGCCATTCTCTACATGAGAGCTGATTTCATAGGAGGGAGAGAAGGCCTTGCTCGGAGGACAGTCGTTTGCTATCCAGAGTTATGCCCGCAAGGAAATCTGCCTGGCCCTCCATCTAGGGAGAGAGAAGAAAGTCTACCAAGCAGCTTTGCAGGGGAAACAGGGAAAACACGAGGCTGTTGAGAACATATGCCCTCAGGAGCCCATGCCATCCGCAGCATTGTTCCGTGAGGCTGCCTCAACGATCTTAGCAGCTTAGCACTGCTGGAGATCATAAAGTGGTCGACACGTGAAAAAGGAAACTTGCTTTAGTAATGGTTTTATCAGCCTGGACCAAATACGCTTGATTCCACAACTAAAGGACTGAGTGACACCCGCATGGCACTGCTTGAGCTGTAAAACCCGCTGGCACGAAATGTCACACAAATTCACTCCTTAGTGGCATTGGCACCCACAATCACCCCAAATTCACTCAATAGCACTGACACACTACAATCACACGCATGTCAACTACTGGTCACCTTCCAACAAAATCAATGGTCACAGATTCATTGTACTTTCCTTCTCAGCTGACCACACAATGACTACTCCTTAGTTGCAGTGAGGTGACACTGCTCTCTAGATTTCTGGCTGGCAGTGCTGCTGAATGGAGCAGGCTCCTGCATGCAGGCTGGCCCCTCCACCGCGAGGCCTGGATGCCTCCTCACAGCATCGCTCATTCCCCATGATTCTGTGTCTGGCATCATTAGCCACAAGCCCAGATTCCAGCTCTGACCTTGCCCTACTCTTTGAGAAGGAGCAGGAGAGAGGTCAATGAGAACTCCGCCTTGGGAATATTGTCCTAGGCGCTGGATGGTACCCACCTTGTTTTCTGGGTGCCATCGGCTCTTTGCCAGCCTCTGCAGAGATCGCAGAACACAGGTATCCTGGTTCATGGGGATCGAGAGGGCCCATCTGCTCAAGTAGCATTGGCTCCCTTGGCCTCCTGGATTGAGCTCCAGGCAGTGCCGCGGCAGTCACCAAGGGCCTTTGTTCTTCCACCTCCAAAATACTCTGGACCATCCCCGTCCTGGGGTCCCTGGCCTAAATTAAGTTGGCCTCATACCCTAGTTTGTCTGAGACAGCCTCATTCTGTGACTGGTAAGCTGGCGAATTTATTCAAGCCCACTCACTACTGTCAGAAATGTTTCTGCTTTTCCGTAAACCACGACCACTGCACCTACCAGGCATATATTGTGGCTTCCCGGGCACAGCTTGAGTGTCCATCTTCATGTGGAGGTAGAAAGAGGAATTAACAAGGACCACAAGACTAGAAAGTAAAGCACGCGCTGGATCTGTTCACCAGGCATCAGTTCTTTCTCGGGGTCTTGTATGAGGCAAAGAGGAACTGGACGTGGGTCCTGAGAACTACTTTCCAGGTGACATATAGGTCTCAAATACAAGGTGGACATGAGGTAGAAATGAATCTGGAGTGTTGCTCACACAGACTAGTTCATTTTTCTCATGCATAACATTGGGTACTTTGCTCTGTTATTTAAACTTCCTGCTGATGCTATTTGGTTTTACTTTTCAGACACTGATTTGCACGTGGTGACCAGTGATGGCACAACTCCCACCATCCCAGAGCAGGTGGTAAGTCCGTAAAGACTTTTCATCATCAGATTATAAACAAACTAGGAGCTGCCAGATCCAAGACAAGACAGCACGAGCGCCATTCAGTCCGCTCAGCACAGGGGAAGGAGCGCACGCTATCGCTACGAGCTCGTACAGTAGCCACCGAAAAATCCATGACAGCCAGTTACCAGTCTATGTTTGGACACTTAATGATGGAGTCAGTTCCTAACCTGTGAACACATAACTAGTCACTAACAAATGAGTGTCTGCAGGAGAAGTACTGATCATGGTCTCACATGACCAGCCGCTGCTGTGACCTGCCACGCTCCCACCTGCCTGGCCAGGTCAGCCTCATCTAGGTGTCCCGGGGGACCCCACTTGCTGGGTTGGCTCTTTGTTCCGGAAGTACTCCAGACACTGCGATGCCAAACATTTCCAATTCCTAGTATCACGAGGCCAACCTCAAAATGATCACATCCAAGGTTACCGTCGCCTGGCTCCAGATGTCTTTTCAAATCAGAATCCCACTCCCCTGCAGCTAGCTCAGCTCTGCATGAGCGGGCAGCCTGCTTGGGGAGGGTTATGAAGAAGCTGCAGATTTCTGCGCCTCTGTGTGTGCGTGTCCAGCTTTAGTTGAGTCTGCAGCTTTCCAAGATGGTTTTGCCACTTCCTACTCCAACTGGCAAACGATGAGTTCCGTCTACGTCGTACCTTTGCTGACACTTAGTATTGCCTCTTTCTCTCCTTCTCTGCTTCCTTCCTTCCTCCCTCCCTCCCTTCTCTTTTGTTCCTCCTTCTCTTTGACCTCTCTTTCTGTGTCATCTGTCTCTCTCTCTTCCTTGTCTTCTTAAGAACTGCTGATGCGCTTCGGTTGTCAGTGTACATGAATTGTACATCACTCATGTTTTAAAATCTCTGTCCTCCAAAGCTGAAGATTCCTCGAGCTGTTCCTCTTTTGAAAATGGTTGAGCCATCCTCCAGCTCCACTCTAACCCATGACAGCGATTCCAGGACAGCTGGCTCACAGCCGAATGCCCACCTGCAGCACATCCCGAAGGAGGGCTCCCCTGACTGGTGGCAGCTAAGAAAGCCGAAAAGGTAACCCTGCCTGTACTCTGGCTGGGCAGCACACGTGTGTACTCAGCCACTGCCCAAGGGCTCAGCCCGACACCATTCACGTAGGCTTGGCTGAGCGGGGACTGTCCTCTTAGACAATATCCAGTGTTGAAGCCTAGGGAGGCGGAGGCCCTCTACGCTTGAGGAGTGTGCACTTCCCATTCAGATGACCTCTCTGCAGAGCTCAGGAAGACCTGGGCATTTCCTTGCCCTCCTCTTTCTTCCCTCTCCCCGCAAATAGCCTCACATTCCAGAACACCCAGTCTCTCAAAGATAGGCTTTCTGTGAAGGTGCTTAGATGGGATTTACTTGTCATGTGCTTCAGCGTGACTGGATGAATGACAAGTGGCCTCTCAAGCCAGGCCGTGGTGCCGCCTCAGGATAGACTCCTGACATGATTTGTCTTCTCACGTGTTTAAGCCAGGCTGGAAATGACCTAAATTGTGTCTCTCTCTGGTGTCTGCGACCAAGCCCACCCCACAGTTGATCTCAGTAACACGGGGTTGAAAGGCAAGGTAATCACAGGGACAGTCCGGGGGCTGCTGTCTGTCACCTGCCTTGCCCATACCACACCACCCCCCCACACCACCCACTGTGTGCCATCTGCTTGTCCAGTTGTCAGCGTCCCTTGGGCACCGTCGGCCTTTCCCCGTGGTGATGCACCAGGCATTTCTATGTTTTTCTCCTGTGTCCTGTTGTTTTATTCTTTCCATCCGCCTCACTTTTACCTAAACCTGATGCCCCTCACTACCAATGAGACAGCCACAGGGCCACAGGGTCCTGAAAGCGTGCAAGTGTCCTGTTGTTTCCAGTGTAAGAAGTCAAGAGGCCACACCTTCTCGGCGGAGTCAAACCCAGTGTGATCATCACCCCCTGCCCTCTGGGGTGTTGAGGGGGTGGCACACCAACTTTGTGGCAGGCTGCCAGCAGCACAGGGCTTCATGAGGAGGCGTGGGGTGAACTGACCGCCTGTTGTCAGACAAGTGTCAGGTCCCTTGGTTCATGTGGGGTGCCGCCGAGGCGCCAAGCCAGAGCCTCAGCCTCCTCTTACTCTAGTGTCCCTATTTCTTCCTTGTACCTAGTTTGCATTGATTGTGATATTTTAAACTTTTCATTACATCACAATTTCTTTTGATCACTGAATTTTTTGACATCAACTTCGATTTTATACCTAACCTTTAGTCCTGACCTGGATTTCCCCCTAAACTTCTGAAAGCTATTATTTGGACAGAGTCTTGATTAATCGCTTCTTAGCATGAACAGCATCGCCTCTGGGAGGAAATACTAATGAGTAAAAGGTCTCCATGGAGCTGGAATTTTAAAAATGCGGCCACTGACTCCCAGCCCCCATAAGAAGGGAACTCTCTCATCCCCTTGCTGTCACACACATGCTCTTCACCTGAGCTGCTCTTCACTCTCGTTCTCAGAGCAGTAACACCTTCCGTGCACTGGGAGGGCACTGAAGCCCCGCAGATTGCTCAGCGCGCAGCCCTCCCAAAGCGCCTCGGTGCGCACGCAGCCATAGAGCACTGCGTGGCAGTGCCAGGAGGCTTCTCGCTCTATCTCCGTCACCTTGTTCTTGCCCCATCTGAGTGCCTGAGGATATACTGAAGTTTTGGACTTAAAAAAAGTCAGTATGATAAAACACACATTGCACATAACAGCATTTACCGTCTTCGTCGTTTTGAAGTTTAAGTACAGCGATGCTGGTACATTCACCTGGTGGTGCAAGCTAGCTGCTTATTCCCAATGTCTCCAGAGTATCCCCTCACGCGGATTAGCCTGAGAGACGCACTGCTGACGGACTACGATGCGTTCTTACAAACAAAAACACTAAGAAGTGAAATGTTAGGGGAGTCCTGCTGAAGGAGAGCCGCTGGCCTACGTGGGCGTAGGGTGCTTGACACTGGAAGAAACTGCAACTCTACGAGGGCTGGCATAGAGGCAGCTTCGCAAGCCCATCTGGTTATGAGCGCTTTCAAGGCACTGAAATGGACCCATGGTGTGACATGGGTGCAAGCAGCTCTGGTCTCTGTAAACATGCTGTATTTATATGCACGCTGAGATGCTTGAGTGAAAATAGAGCGCAGAGGTGCATACAGAAAAACAAGAATAATTAGTGTTTGTCAGTAAACATTCGCTGAGGAAAAGATGAGGCCAAAGCTTCGCTGCTGAGCAAGGCTCTTCGGGAAGGGGGCTAGTGGAGGGGGCGTCTGGCCTTCCTGGACCTGGAGCCAGAAGGGCATTTCCTTGTTAAGGAAGCGTGTTGCTCGGAAGTGTGGTTTTAGTAGCAGTGAAGATTTAGCACGCAGTAACCAAAGGGAGAATATCAATCACAGCCACCCCATGTCAAGGTAATCACATTCAAAGATTCCTTTATAGGGGATTTGTCCCCGTTTGCAGGAAAACTGGCCAAATTCGCAATGATTTTGCATCGAGGCTTTATGTTTACAGTAAATATACACAAAAATATAAAAAAGCCAGGACTCTTGCCTCTCTGAGCCCTCAAATTGGCCTGAGTCACTGGTGTGTGGATTCCAGCCTTCCTTGCACCCACCCACATGCATGGGGCAGCGAGATGTCACTGAGCCGGACCCAGCATCTCCAGCAGGAGGAAAATGAAGCTCGCGCTGAGTAACCTCTCTATACACAGCTAGTGATGGTCAACCTGATGCTGTAGCTCACCCCCAGCCCCGTCCTGTTTCCTGGGTCCACTCTCCTGAAAAACTCAGAGAGCCACTACTCCAGGGAGCCTCCTGAAACAGCCAATAACCTGGACTTGAGCTCAGTCTGGTTTATTTATTTATTTTTTTTAACTTGTGAATATTTTCCAGCCAAATAATTTGCCACTGGCCCCTCCCTGGTGGCACAGCGGGTTAAAGCACAGCACTAGAAGCTAAAGCCACTTCAGCATGAGTTCGATCCCCTCCCTGGAGGTGACCCACATGGCGCGGCAGAGCTCTCCTGACCCGCCCGCTGCTCCCCTCAGCGGTGTACTTTGTAGACCTGCCTGTTCTGCTCCCCGCTCTGTCTCTGGTGAAGCCTGTCACCCCCACCCCCACACCTCTGGCCTGTACCCCAGTTCTGTATGCAGAAATAAATCTTTAAAAATAATAATAATTTGCCACTAAGAAAAGTAGCAGTTGACATACTTTATGCTTTTTAAAAAATCATTCTTTTGTTTTTCATTTATTCAACTTTGGTACGTTTTAATATTTTCCTACACCAGGAATTACCGAGAAATTACACTTCTGGTTCCCAGAGAACCCTGGCTGGCCTGTGTGCTCCCATCCTGACTGGGTGTATTATTGCTCCATCACCACTCGCATCCACCAAGTGATACTTAGAACAGGGCATTGTGATTTTGGAAGAATGAGGCAGCCTCTTTACTCAGACCTCTGCATGAATTTGTCTATGCACTTGTGTATTTACTGTTTTGACTACAGAAAGCCATTTTCTCACAAGTGAAGAGCTCAGGTTTTGAGAGATCCTTCGCGTGGCTGGCAGCATCCATGTGCAAAAAGGGTGCGAACAGTCTGAGTGTTAGTGAGGGCGAAGAGAGCACGAGGGGTTTGATCTTGCACTTGGATTTTTTCCTGATGGTTTTTGTACTCACGTTGTTTCCTCTTTCTAAGGGGACCCCACGAGTCAAATTCATCTGAAGAAGAAGAAAACCTAGAAGACTACGAGTGAGTGCTGAGACTCTATACTCCTCTGAAACTACACACGGGTGTTTCTGTTCCATTTCCTCCCAGAGGCTCACACTTGCTCAGAAGGCTTCTCTTCTCCTTCCTGATATTTCTATTTCCCATAGGCATCTATCCTGGAGCATAGACCCTAGCAATGTTTTGATTATCACGTAATTATTATTGGCATTAAGATATTAACTTGTCATAAAACTATCAATATCTCCCATGTTAATAGTTATAGATCTCTAAAGGGAGAGCCATAGAGACTTTCAAACGTAGCAAGTTCAACCCTCACCGACATTTACGCATCGGGATATCCAAGTCCTACAATTACTTCATAGGGAATTATGTCCAGGATCTAGCCCTCCCAGCTGGCTGGTCTGAGGCTCTTTTCCCTTCATTGAATTGACCTCCAGCTGATACAGAGGTCACACAGAGAATCACTTCTGATCCACTGCCACCAAATCCAAAGTCCTCTTGTGCCTTGATTTTTTCCTGCAAAGCCCCCTCTCCCCGTCATGAAGCTGCCCCCCCCCAGATGCAGTCTTCTCACCAGAGGTCCTCCCAAGACCCCAAATCCTTACCCCATCCCACATCAACGTTTTCGTTTCCTTGGCATTATGTTTTGGCCAAACCAATGTGGATCTCACACGAGAAAGCGCTCTGTGCTGAACTTCACCTACAGAGTAAGGTGCCATGTTCTCGGCAAACAGTAAAAAGGCAATATTTACAGATGGTACCTGGATCTCACATGTTATCTTTCGTTCAATATAACTTTTGTCTCAATATAATGTTAGATGCTCCTCTATTGCTCTCCTGCAAATAAAAAAACTTAAAGCACTTGCTTGGGAAATAGCTGGAATGATGTGCACTTTCAGAGGGTGGTAGAGTGACCGAGTGAAAGCAGGCTTGGCCACGCTGCCAAGCCACTGGCATTGCCTCTCCTGGGCTCATCTCTGGCTCCCGTCCGCCTGAGAGTAAGCCGCAAGTCCCAAAGTCAGTCCACTAAAAACACAGATGTGCTGACCCAGAACTAGAATTAGGAGGCAGAGACTCAGAAATCGGTGTTTTTGGGTTTTAAACTGAAGTCGTGTTACAGGTTTAGTACTTCACGTCGCTTTAGGCGTTCAGCCTTTTACATCACCATCTGTATACACGACATGACCTTATGTTCTTGTAAAGCGCCTCAGGTGACTCACGTGAGCTGGGAAGCCCTGATGGAGGCCAACACCTCCTTTCACAGGTCAGAATGTGACTGACAAGTGATGCAATGCACAGTTGTGCATTCTCAAACATGGAGGTCTTTTCTCTTGCAGCTGGTTTGCAGGCAACATGTCCAGGTCACAATCGGAGCAGTTACTGAGACAAAAGGTAAACAGTCCACACTTGAAAACAGCCTCTAAGAATCTCTTCTACTGTCACTTCCAGAGAGTAGTGCGCTCCTCACAGAAACCTTATTGCTGATCAGAAAGTCATCGCAGTGTTGGCTGCCCAGTCTCGGGGCTCCAGGTCTGTCACACCAGGCACTTCCTTGGTTTCCACTAGCTAGTGCTGTGGAATAAGCCACCCCAAACTTAGTGCTTTGAAATGACAAGGGCTATGACTTCCCTTCATTCCGTGGGCCAGCTGGGCCCACCGCCTTCTGCAGGCTTTGCTGATGGCCACTCGTGTGGCTGCTTTTACCTGATGGAGGGGCTGGGAGGTTGAGCTGAGGCAGTCAACCAGGGTGCATAGATCCCCCCCCCCAATAGCTAACTTGTGCTTCCTCACAAGGCAGTGCTTAAAGCCCCGGCTCCGGGCCAACACTCATTGAGCCTGTGGCTGTCCTGTTTGCTAATGTCCTATTGGCCAAAGCAAGTCACGTGGGCACCCCAGAGGCTACATGGGAGGGGACTATACAGGGCAACTCAGAGAGGAGTTGTTGGGGTCATCAGGGTGACAGTCTACTCTGCTCTGTCACTGCTCATTAGGCCATAAACCAGAGAACAGCAGATGTAATGAGAATAAGTCTGCCTGATTTTGTTGCTAATTGGTTTGGAATTACCAATAGCAAACTCTTGACCTACAAAAATGACATGATTATATAGTTGAACCTAATAAAAGACCAATTATTTCTTTGAGGGATCCTAGTGAGCATGTACTGGCTTGACAAGCTCACTCAGTATTTTTCCTAGTTTATTATCTGCTCTTTCTGGGTCTGGATCTGTTTAGAATTAGCACAGCCTTTAAGAAAGACAAGTGGAGCATAGCACTTTAACAACTTGCTCTGTGTCCTTGATTTTCTAAAACTTTCCATGGGCATGCTATGTGATCTGTGGGTTTTTTTCTTAAAGATTTATTTATGCACCCAAGAACTAGGGTACAGGCCAGAGGTGCAGGGGGTGAGAGGATTCACCAGAGACAGTGGGGAGCAGAACAGGCAGATGGACTGAAACACACTGCTGAGGGGAGCCGTGGGGAGACAGGAGAGGTCTGCTGTGCCATGGGATCGAACTCATGCTGCAGTGGCTGGTGATCGTGCTGACTTCAACCCCTGTGCCACCAGCTGTGGATTTAATTCTTATTTCTGAAAGACTGGAACAGTAGGCTGGCATAAGTACAACATGGATAAAATCATCAGAGGCAGTTCAGCATGAACCAAAGAGGAAGAGTTGAAGCTCACAGGGTTAACCTCTAAAGAGCCAGCAGGAGGAAAGGAGAGTTGGGCAGTTTTCAGTAATGACATTTTCTACACCGTCCATATTTTCCTTCCTTTTCAGGGAAAAGAAGGAGCATTTATGGTTAGAAATTCCAGCCAGGCGGGCATGTACACAGTGTCCTTATTCAGCAAGGCTGTGCAGTAAGTGTGACCTGTGTTTGTTTCTTTCCTCTAGCATTTGCGCTCCTTTCAACTCTCTGGGCTTTTCGTCACATTTTGGGATAAAACGCCATCTTTAAACTCTGGAACTTGGTACTAGAGTCTTTCCGTTGACTGACCACTTTAGCTGCCCTTTCCCCTCCTTCCACGAGGCAGCAGCAGCACCGCAGTGCGCAGCACCCCTTGGCACAGCTGCCCCCGATGCCCTCCCACACCTAGGAAGGGAAATAGCAACGCGACCTCCACACCTCTGGCCTCTTGGCCCTGGGCACCTGCTGAGCTGAGAAACCCACCCTGTGTCTGTTATTCCTAGGTCTTTGCAGCGCAGGCCGAGTCAGCAGCAGGTGAATCAGTGTAGCTCCGTGCCAGGTAGTTTCCAGAGAACTCTGCTCTTTTTGTGCCAAGAGCTCTTTGAAGCTTCGCTTCTGGCTTCAGAGCCTGCCTGACCGTTCAGAGCTTTAGGACACTCCATGTGATTCTCAACCTCTGTGCCTCAACCTTTTTCTCTAAAGGGGTGGGGGGTGGCGGGTGGGCATTACTAAGTTCTGCAGATGAAGCGACTTAACGCATGTGTTGGTCAGATAAGTGCCTGGCCTACGTCAACACTTAAGAACTAGTAGCGTTGCTGTTATTGTTGGTGTTGGGGGGAAGTTATTCTACCTGTCCCGCCCCACACTTAAGCAACTGAGACCCCCACAGTGACCTCATGCAAGCCAGCACCAATGTCAGGACCCCCCCATCAGTTTTCCAAGCCACTTTCCCACTGGTGGTTTGCCTTTTTGGCCCTTCTAGTCATCCTGCAAAACAAACAGGGAAGTTGATTTTCTTTGTACCAAGCTAATAAATGACCAGCTTGAAGCTGGGCCTTCACCAGCCAAGTTCAAGTTCATCTTCCTTCAGCCACATCCCTATGTCTATACTAAATGCTCCCCCACCCCTTAATTTGGGAATCAGAATCTGGCCCAGTCTTGACTGGGGCTTTTTCTAGAAATAACAGTTCTGTGTGTGTGACCCTCTCGAACGGTTGGGCTGAATGGCCCTCTGCTGGGGGCCGTCTGCATTGCCCTGCAGTGCCATGGGGGGAGTAAAAAAGCTATTTTGAGAACTTTTCTTACAAAGCACTCACGTACATTTCGAAACAATAGGCTCTCCCCTAGGCAGTCACACTGTGTGTTCCAGTGCCAGGAGCCACACCCCCAACCCATCTCATGTACTCGGTATACATGGAACAAGGCTCGGTGCACCGACGAACAAAAGCTCTGTGACCCTCGGCCCTGAGTTTCAGCCAAACCTGACATTCCAAGTTCTCCTAATCAAGCTGCTTGACACCAGATTCAGTTTTGCAATGGACCAGGTATACAAATCATTGTTACATGAAGACTGAAGTGAAAATAATTCCAGCCAATGAATACGGAAGCCCTCCTTTATAAAACCCCATCCATGAGCTAGAGGGATGGCCTGTCCAGAACAAGGCTGATTAGCCATTCGTAACAAAGAGAAGCACCCTCACGCCTTTCTATGATTGCACTTTTAACTAGGCTGGCATTACATCAAATTATTACAGTTTCTTATGTATCACGCCTGCTGCAAACGCTACATGTATTTGTTATATATATGGACATATACATGTGTGTAAACTCTCATCCGATTTTCACCACAAATGGATGGCTAGCTAGCAGCAGTGGAACTGAACTCACCTCAGTTCTTGACCATCATGCCGTGTTCTAAAATTTAAGGCAGGCTTAGCATTCTTCATTAGCCTAGATCAATGAGCATGAATCTACCCTGCCTTCTGAAAGTAGGGCCAAACAAGAAAAACCGATTCTATGTGGAAAACGCACAAGTCCACACGAGGAGTTGAAGGACATCCCTGCCCTCCTTCATCCTCCTACTCATCCCCCGGGTGAGAATACCCACAGCCTAATTACCATGGCCGCCCACATTTCTCTGTCTCTTATTATCCCACAAGAGAATTCACATTCAGAACAATGACCCTGAAGAATTACAGGGCTCTCGGTAATCAAAGGAAGATTCCAGCATTTGCATTTGCTGATGGAGGAGCAGGCCTAGAAGCTGGGAGCTCATTGCATGTGAATCGTGTGTGCCCACAGAGGATGCAAAAGCTCAGAGTGGCGCCCTCCTCCATCACTGCCGATAGTCACGGACACCCCCCGAACCACCCTGACAAATTCTCTGTGACCTAACCTCTCCGAAATTTGTAAATGTACCTGAAAAAATAAGTTCACTATTATTTAATCAAGCCTCAGTTGTTTCAAATGTGCTGACATTCTTTCTTCCCGGACAGCGACAAAAAAGGGACTGTCAAACATTACCACGTGCATACAAATGCCGAGAACAAGCTGTACCTGGCAGAGAACTACTGTTTTGATTCCATCCCAAAACTTATTCACTATCATCAACACAATTCAGCAGGTAATTTTAGTTTTCCTTTTATGGGTCTCTGTTGATGAATATCCCTCTTCCTGGATACTACTGGGCCTCCTCCAGGCTTAATTAGATAGGCAACCATGGAAGGAGGAAAAATGCTGTCAAGGCCTCTGCTTGCTGGGAGTTTTAACCCACATTTCCTGGGACATAACACTCAACATTCTGTAACAGCAGACGGAATGCAGCTGAGTGGCTCAGAAGTAGAGACTCTCTTTATAAAAACATTTGTGGATTTTTGATGTCAGTAAAAGTAAGTTGATTGAGAAATCTAAACACAGAAATGTATGTCATTGGAGGGATAAACTCCATGGATAAGTTGGCGCCTCTTCTTTATCTATGCTTATACTAACACTTATTACTCATTCTATATAAGCCATATGTGTGTGCATTTTATTTTTCCAGAGGTGAGATCATTCTACATAGAATACTCTTCAGCTTCCTGCCTTTACCCAGCATGGCTTAGATTCCCATGCCAATACAAAGACAGCCCTGTGTGGCCGATTGAACTGTGACATAGACTCCCACCGTGCGGTGGCTCCTTCTGCGTCCCCCAGCCCTTGTCTGCCTAGAGCCGTAGCACACCCAGGAGCTTCAGCTCCTTGTCCTTGCTCCCATGGACAGTCCTGCACACGTAGCTCTACATGCACCTATCTCAGTACCTCTGTAGCTATAGTCCCTAGAAGTGGCATTTCTGAGACAATTTCTGAACCTCTAAAATTCACAGTGTCAAATGCTTTGCAGAACTCCATACTGCTAGCAACAATAATTTCCCTCATCCTCACCAATACTGAGTGCCACTGATCCTTTCAAATTTTGCCTGATGGCTTAATGGACATGTGGACAGTCCTCTCTGATGGAGGACGCAGTAACTAACATACTGACCTGCAGTCAGTATGCAGGTCTCATCACCAAGGTGTTCACCTTAAACTTACATTATGTCACAGGTCAGTCACTGCTCAACAAAGTTGGGGGAAAATAATAAAAATGAGCCCCCTCTGAATGTCTTTTCTAGATCACTGCTATGGGCAGTGACTGGGTAAATTTCCAACAGTGAGGAAATTGTGGGCTCAGCATCAAACTTAGGGAGTTCTGACTGATCCCACGCACATAGGGGAGCTGGCCTCAGTCCCGCCTTTCAATTCAGTTCTGACTTGTATTTTCCCCCTTTGTTCCAATTTCCATAATTGTTTCTTTTAAGCTGTCGCAGCTGGGAAGTGCCTTTTGGAAAAGGTGCTGTGTAAATTGCCATTGTTAAATGGAGTGATTCCACTCCAGAGGGCTCCCTGGAAAATTCTCGGGATGTGGCAAGAGATTTACATGTCTCTCTAGATTGTTTTTGCTGTTTGTGAGCATATTTTATGATGCTCATAATGTCAGTGTAGTGGTAACTGTATACATACAAAATTTGGAGGAGTACACTCATTTTATTTTCTGGCTAAAGGTACAGAATTTAAAATGCTGGGGACCACACATATAAAAAGTAATGTACAGCAAAAAGGAGAAAAGGCCAGATATGATCGTTCCCATCATGTGTTTAAAATAAACATTTTTCTTGAGTTCTTTCAAGTCACTATAAAAAGTTCAATTATTTCACCCGAGCTTTACCATAATTTGATGTCAACAATTAAAATGGTCGACCATTTCAAGGAATCTGGTGAATAGTTTTAATTTTTTAAAAAATTCAAGTGATTTGGTCTTTGTGGTGTGCTCTTACTGTACTGTTGGGATTTTTTATAAAATGTATGTGCTCTGAAGTGTATGTGCTTTAAATATGGGTCACTAATGAGCAAGCGAAATAAAGATGCGAAAAAATTTTAAATGAAAAGCTTCTATTGAGTAACTAACATCAATAAGACAGTATTTAAATCACATAATGTGTTTTTACGCTTTTGATGTTTGGCTTTACTCTGAATTTTAATTTGCATTGGGTTAGTTTTCGATTCATACAAGGGCGGGATGGGATGATCAGAATGGGGTGTCCCTCTGTATCTAACATCCTGAACTCTGCTTTTTCGGCTACTCTGGAGAGAGCAAAGCAGGGGTGAGAACCACCGCTGTAATTCAGGTGCTGTGAGCAGATGTGACCCTGTGACCTGATCCCGTTGCAGGCATGATCACACGGCTGCGCCATCCTGTGTCCACCAAGGCCAACAAAGTGCCCACCTCCGTGTCCTTGGGAAGCGGTACGCACGTGCTCTTGAGTTCTTAGACTTTGTTTCTCACCACTTGGCTTTAAATATATAGGGTTGATTTACCAACCAAAGAAGGAGATCTCCTATTCAATAGGAAGGGCTTCTACTCTAATCTATTTGCTCATGTTCTTAAAAATGAAATGGAACGTGTTCCTGTACCCCCAGCCTGAACACGTAGTCTCTGCCGCATTGCCAAATTGTGGCCACAGGTTTCCTCTGCTTCGACCTAATTCACGCCTCTAGAGCTCCTCACCTGGCCCTTCCCCGTGCTCCCGCGCCTACTCAGGGGGGCAGTCGTCAACCTTGTGTGTTTAGGAAAATGACATCCATCCAGATTTTCCCAAGCTTGGGGCCCATTTTAACGCCAAGTCTTTGCAGATTGCCTCTGGTTGGCAGAGCCCCTGAGCTTTCTCGTCAACAACTACCGCTACTTTAAGAATCCTATTGTGCTGGTGACGCTGTTGCGTAGTGTCAGAAGTCAAAAGAGCGCAGGAGCAGGGCTATTTTTAAGTGATCAACTTCAATGAAAAGCCTTGTGCTCCCTATTGTCAGTGTGAGAGTGTCATGGGAGAGGAGCCACTTGGCAATCGGACAGCCCCAAAGCCTCGACTCTCATTACAGAGTGTCCGTCTTGCCTTATCAGGAATCTGGGAACTGAAAAGGGAAGAGATCACCCTGTTGAAGGAGCTGGGGAGTGGCCAGTTCGGGGTGGTCCACCTGGGCAAGTGGAAGGAGCAGTATGACGTTGCTGTCAAGATGATCAAAGAGGGCTCCATGTCTGAAGATGAATTCTTCCAGGAGGCTCAGACCATGATGTAAGTCTCTGAGCCGTGCAGCTCAGCCCTCGCAGTGGGAGGACATTCGTGCTCACGGGCCTGGCTGTAACTGCCAAGGCCTGGACCAATGGTCCACTTATCACAGAGATACGTATTGAGAAGTTACAAGCCTTGTTCACACACTGGGAGTACGATCGGGTCCGTCTTTAACAAGTATACTTTCCTAACAACCCAAAAGTTCATCCTGGAGTCTAGAGCCCTCAGGACGCTTTAGGGAAACCAGCATCGAGCCCATGACCTGCTCCTTGCACCCCCTACAAAACCCTTGCCTTCCCCTTTCTTCTCCCATCCCTAGCTCTGTGCTACCTGGCACTTGGTACCTTAGCACCTCAGCTCCCTCTGTGCCCCCCCATAAACAACTATGGGCTTGGCTAGTGATCTCAGCTAGGGCAGGCATGCCAACAGTGTGGTTCTGTGTTGCGGGGACAGGTCCAGAAAGGGTCTGCTTGGGTCCTGTGCTGGAAGAGGCCACAGGAACAGGTGGACAGGGCATTCCAGAGTCATGGTATCCCTGAGGGTGGTTGAGAAAGGGACAGATGGGTTCTGAGAGGACATGCCTCCTTGGCCTGCGGCCTGCTTGCCCTGTGGAAGGTGTGTGGTGGGCTCGGGTGCCCCAGCAAGAGCACACCCAAGGCAGGGCCCTCTGGGGCCAGGCTGAGGCCATGCTGAACACAAGCACACTATGTGCACGGCTTCCAGGTTCCTCCCTGGAACCTTCTATTCGGTTAGCAAAAAAGCCTTTTCCAACTTCACTTCTTTCCTCCCCTGATAAATGAAGCTTCCGTTTCTCTCTAATAGGTCTCAACCCCCACAGTATCTCAGTTTTTGACAATACATATACATTCTCACCCCCCTCCCCTGCAAGTACAAAGAATTATTTGAATACTGTTGCCTCTTTCTATAACCTTGGTGAATCAAACTTTGAAGAGTTTTCCTAGGACTTGCCAGTTTTATTGGAAATTTGCTGAATTTAATATGGAAAAATTAATGTAACAATAATGTAAAATAAGTTTTTTTTCAAAAGATGCCTAATCTCACTTTCCTGACATAGCAACTGTTTTCAGTTTACCTATGCCCTTCATATGCTGAGAGTAAGTGGGTTTTTTTAGAATGACATATTAGATGTGAAGGTTCCAGGCTTAAAAATGGAAGCCACACTCTTAAGGCATTGCACGCTCTGAATGAGTCATGAAGTTGTCAGGTCCCATGTCTAGGACACTAGACGGGATTCCCCAGGCACTGGCCCCTTGCTTCTACAGGAGAACTAAATGCAGCACCCGCTGCTGCTAAGTTGCTGCTGAGGTGGTCACTGCCTAATTCAAGGCAGCTTTTTTGCTTGAAGGCAAATGTCCCCAGGATAAGACCCTCTTTCCCTGTTCGGGTGGAAGGGGCACATTAACGCCAACGCAAATCTGAGGGTGGTTCTTTTTTCAAGTCGTGGAAAGTGGAGCATGCAGGTCAGTACTGAACAGTGAAAATGTGTTGCTTCCAGGAAACTCAGCCATCCCAAGCTGGTGAAGTTCTATGGAGTGTGCTCAAAGAAATACCCCATATACATTGTGACAGAATATATAACCAATGGCTGCTTGCTCAGTTACCTGAAGAGTCACGGAAAAGGCCTGGAGCCCTCCCAGCTCTTGGAAATGTGCTACGATGTTTGTGAAGGCATGGCCTTCCTGGAGAGCCAGCAGTTCATACACCGCGACCTGGTAAGCAAGGGCATCGGCGAGTGCAGAGGAGAGCCAATCCACAGTCCCCACCTCAGCCGCTCGAGCAGCTGGGAGGGACTGCACGGAGGGACTGCACGGAGTGCTGATCTGTGACTGGCTTAAGCACAGAGCACGATTGTAAGAAAAGGCACCATTTCAAAAGAAAGTATTGAAAGGACAGAAAGATAGAAGCCATCAGGATCTCTGCAGCTGTGTTGTATGGAAGGAAAAGACTGCAGTCAATCTAGCATCTCTCCAAACTGTTAAACCCAAGTTGACCTTTACTCCAGGAAGAGCTAATATGGTGCTGACTCGGTCACTCAATGCCATGCCTGAAAATAATGAGAGAAAGCACCCCAGAAGGAAAGCAACATGTGGGTCTCTGGGTCACAGAGAAGCATCTTTTGCTTGCTACGCGCTAGCATTTCTCTCTAGAGATTGTCTTTCACTCAACAGCAAATAGGCCATCCACACCAGCCCAGTGCACCTGGTCAGTCTCTGTTGCATCTGTTGAGGCACAGGGCTCTAGGGGTGGAGAGGGAACCTCTAGAGAGGGTTCCGTCTTTAATATATGATATCTTTCACATTGTTTGACAGGGGGGGTGCTGGGGTGGAAATACTTGTGAAAAATGGCAAATTGCAAAGGAAAAAAGACTTTTCCTCCTTCAACTATGCAGTTGGGCTTGTGAGAGGTGATCTGAGATTCCACTGAAGATCGGTTGAACATCTCATTTGAGTATCAGGTTTTGGTTCGTTTTAATTTTTTTTTTTCTCTCCAAAGGCTGCTCGGAACTGCTTGGTAGACAGTGATCTGTCTGTGAAAGTGTCTGACTTTGGCATGACGAGGTAAGTCTGTTTCAGAGGGGCAGCCAGTGGGCAAAGCATTAACACTAGGAAAAATTTTGTCATATCACTAAACTTTCCATATCACCAACTGGCATGAAAGTAGGCTCGAAGATTCTCTGGGTGGGTTCTATCCCTCTTCATGACTTAGCAAACTTATTTGATCATGATAGCAGTGTATCAGTCACTTTCTGAATTCTTAGTCCTCATTCTCTTAGTCCTCATTCCCAGGAAGACACAGCTATTGGCCGCTCCATTCAACAAATGTGTATCAAGAGTCTGTGTGAGAAACTGATGTGAGTGGGGAGGGCTCGGCCCTCAAAACACACACACCTGAGACTGGAGGGCATGTAGATGAGCCTGACATTGAGGCAAAAACAGCTGTCAAGTTGTGGGACTCAACCGAACGCGGGGGCTCCGAGCCAGAATAATACCACTATGGAGAGAGCTCCAGCGACCCTGGGTGGCGCTGCAGTTAGCAAACAGCGCCCCAAAACACCCGAGAGGGATCTGATGCTTTTTGTCTTCTCCAAAACTCACTATCTGGAAGTAGTCCTTTTCCAGGACCCCCCATGGTGGCAGGGTCCCCCTAAGATGTGTGCTACCTGCCATCCCTCCAGAAGATAATGTACCATGTGAGGAAAATGTTCCTGGTGTGCCATTAAAGAAGTAGAAGCAAACCTCAGTGCAGCAGGAACCCAATCTTGTTTAAATTATTATTGAAAAGAAATGGGAACCTACACTCAAAAGTGTTTATCTTGAGTAGTAGAATTGCAGGTTATCTGTGGGAGAAGATTTGGAGTGATTTAATTTTTATATTTTTGTGGCTTTCTATATTCACTAAATAGTTGACATTCATATTTTGGTACTTTCAAAGTTAGATCTCATTTTTTAAAAAATGCTTAAAAGTCAGAAGCGGCTTCTAGCTAAACGCACACTGTGAGAAGGCAGAGAGCCGGACAGCGCCCGGCCTGGCTGAGGCTGGAAGGCCCTGTGCCCCCTTTAGCCCCAGGCACAGAGGCAGCAGCCATCAGACTCTTCCCATCTTCCTCAGTCACATGGCTTACGGTCTTTGCCGCCTCCCCCACAGGTATGTCCTCGATGACCAGTACGTCAGTTCAGTGGGAACAAAGTTTCCAGTCAAGTGGTCTGCCCCAGAGGTGTTTCACTACTTCAAGTACAGCAGCAAGTCTGACGTGTGGGCGTTTGGTAAGAAGGTGGCCACACAGGCCCAGCGCTGTTTTATAAGCGACTTCCACAGCAGGAAACCACCGGAGTGGTGACGTTCATCTCTAGCAAAAGCCCTGAGCACTTACAAAGTACCAGCATGCCCTCAGACAAACTGGAGGCAGGGATGGGTCACTGTAGGCTCTCTGCCTACAGGCATAAAAACCGAAGGGGATTGAAAGGCATTCAAACAGATTTTTAAAAGGAGTTACTGAAAAGTAAAACTCCCTTTGCATGAGGTCCCAGAGGCTGACAGGCTTAAAGTGAAGCATTCCCGTCTGCACGGGCAGTTCTTTGCACATACTCACTGCAAACACCAAGCAGGACTCAGGGCTCCCTTGAGCTCACCTCAGTTTCAACTAGTATCCTCATTAAAATTCAAATGCAGATCAGGGTCAGCCAACCAAGGCCCAGCAAGAAATCCAGGGGTTTGTTTCTATAAATCAAGTTAGGTGAGCAGCACAAAGCCTGACCGGTTCTGTCCTGTCTCTGGCCGATTTTGTGGAGCATTTCCAGGGAGAATGCATGACCCATAAAGCTTAACCCACTACTGCAGCTCTTTTCAGAGAAGCCTACTGACCCCTAACTTATTAAGAGATCTGTCCTGAAATTGAGGTAACCAGAAAACAGAAACCATTCTTCAACTGGAAATAATACAAATGACCGTAAAGTTGTGGGGCATATAAAATAAACTGAGACCTGTATTTCACGCCAGTCTTAGTCCTTAAGTATAATGAGACTTTCTAGATGACATTCAAGAGGCTCACTGTAAAAATGGAAATATCTGTTAGCCATTTACTTTCCTATGTGACACAGTATTTTAAGAATAGTTGCTCCTTTTGGAAAAGTGCAAAAAATAACCCAATGTACACAGATAGAGTATTTTGGCAAATCACAAAGAGTATTTTGGCAAATACCTGATGTCACCTTGTGCTGATTAACATATCATTGTTTTCGACCTCCTTGTATCTAATGAAATACTTTATGAAAGAACGTCTAAAAATTCAAGATCCTTAAGAGTTAACAATATCTCTTTGACTTCAAAATTGCATTAGACAGCTTCTATACTCATCTAAATGCTGACACTAGGCTCCAAATATCTTCTCTTTCCAAAACCTAAATTCATTCTTAAATCATTTGTCCCCAGTGAAGAAATTCAAATGCATCCAGATCAGGCCTCCCTGGTGGCCTGAGGGTTAAGTCTCAACACTATCACGGCAACGGCCTGAGGGCAATCCCCGGCCACGGAGATGACCCACACATGAAGTCCCACAGAGGTTTTGAGCAGTGATACTCTTCTTGGCATCAGGGTGCAGGCTTCCAGAGATTTGGGAGGAAGCAGTATGGCTTGCAATGGTTTTAGAATTTTCAAGGCATTTCTCTTAATGCCTTGTGGAGGATTTTGCATCAAATCTGGAGCCCTGAAAGTTTTGAGGTTAGCACTCCCGTTCATTACATGATTCCAGAAATGTGCTTCCTCCTTGTTTCTGGTTTTCCAAGGCTTATAACACTTGCAGGCTCTTGAAATCCTCCAGCTTGGCCACAGTGCCGAGAGCATTGAGCCTGTCCCATGCTGTGTGGACACGTGTTCCCACCTATTTAGCCCTCACGGCACCCAAATGGTATGCAGATATCATACTCTAGAAGGGACCCTAGGCATAGAAAGTTGCCCCTCCTCCATGTGGTGTAACTGCCATCCTCTTAACCACTGCGACCTGAGTTCAGTTTTTCCTTTTTAAAGATTTATTTACATCGGCATACAAGAGCTGGGGTGTAGGCCAGAGGTGCAGGGATGTGAGGATTCACCAGAGACAGAGTGGGGGGCAGAACAGGAGGATGCACTGAAATACGCTGCTGAGGGGCGTATTTTTTTAACTTCCATGAAATACCACTTGATTGCGCAATGAACTTATGTCACATAACTGCCAAGACAGCAAGAAAGGGCCGAGACTTCCACTCGCCTCACCTCAGGGTTGGGCCGGAGGTGTCTCGGTGGCTGAAACAAACCACTCACCTCTCTGCAGAAGCCCAGCATCTCCCCCCGACTCACTCCTCCCACAGCTACCCTGGCCTTTTCCCGGGTGAGCAGCAAGACCGCTGTCAGGGCCCCAGGGAACATGGGAAGAGATACTCGACTCCGGAAGTGATGGCTCCCCCTCCTTCCTGCTATGACCATTTCCAGGAGCCCCTGGCTCTTCCCTGTGCTTCCTACCTGGTGGGAGGCGCTCACTCCACACACTCATTCCTTCTGACGGGTCTTCCTCTCCCTGCCTCTGTGGTCCCTCTGGTGCAGGCATCCTGATGTGGGAAGTGTTCAGCCTGGGGAAGCAGCCCTACGACTTGTACGACAACTCCCAGGTGGTCGTGAAGGTCTCCCAGGGCCACAGACTCTACCGGCCCCAGCTGGCCTCGGACACCATCTATCAGATCATGTACAGCTGCTGGCATGAGGCAAGTTCCCCGGGCATAAGGGAGGCTGCCAGGTGTTTCCTATCTGGGAAGAGCATTTTGAGGGAAGGACCCGCTGCACAGTAGATGGAGAGGCCCCGGGGCTGGCCTTCCAGCATTGGTAAAGCAGGCGCAGACAGTTTCCATTTCTTTATCAGGCAACACACTCTGAGGTAGGTACTGTGTAGCACAGAAGCAGAAACAAGAGTCCAGAGAGCGTTGACTTGTCCAAGTTGCACAGCTAGTAACAGGCAGGTTAGTGCTGCAGTTCCTGTTCTTAACTATAGTACCAAGGGGTCTCTCCTCAAAAGTCTACCAGAGAACACAAAACCAGACACAGAGAACACACAGTAGACGCCACACTATCCTCTCTTCCCTGGCCTCCCAAACAAGGAATGAAAGAATACCATGTCGGTAGAGAGCAACAGTATTTTTGGAGAAGCCACAGAGCCAAAATGGCCGGGGACTAATTTGCAAAGCATCTACTATGTTTGTAGAATGAAGGGGGGTGTTAAGGAAGCAGCTGAAAACACTGAGCATTCAGAATCACGCTCCCAAAGGAGACGCATAGACAAATGGAGGAAGAGGAAGAAGAGGGGGAGGCAACTCTCTGATTGCACTGTGACCTCAGGCAGGTCACGAGGTCTCAGCAGGCCATCCATGCGTGTGTGAGTGGAAATGTGGTCAAAGGTGTCCACGTGAGGCCAGGACAAGCTCAGGTGTGGAGGCAAGAATGAGTGGGCCAGGTTTGGCTAAAGCCATTGTTGGAAAGGGTGAACGTGAGTTCGGAAAGTAGATCTGGTCCAGGGTCTGGAGGGTGGATGACAAGGAAAGGAAGTTTTGCTTTCTAGAGTCAATGGGCTGTGGGAGATTTTTGAGGGCATTACTTTATGACCCCACAGCTGATGGCCACAGTTGCTTCATTGATGAAAGGGCCTGATGTTGCCTTCATGCTTCCAGGTACCCACTGGTCACATGTAGACTGGGGGCTTGGTTAGGTGTATGGACTCTGGAGCCAGAATGTCTGCTTAAATCATAGCTGTGTGACCTTGTGCAAGCCTCCTAACATCTCTGTGCTTCACTCTAAAATGGTACTTAAGTGACAGGGTTATTGTGTGAATTGAATGAGCTACTATTTTCAAGTTCTCAGCAAAGGGTGCACTACATGCTTGGTGGTGATAGTGATGATACGGTGGTGGTAGTGGTGGTGATGGCAGTGGTATAGGACATCAGAGTGCCTATGTGTCAGGCAATGTGCTGACACTACCCAGGCCTTAGACTTCCCAGTTTCTTCTACTGATGTGCAGAACCCCACTTGGAAGAGCTGATGACCACATCACACCATAGAACACTTTGATTAATATTAAATTAGTTCGTTGAGTAAGAGCACTGTCCCCTCCCCCAGCACTTGGAAAGCTATGTAAGCCGCCCCACCTTTTTCTGCCCCAAATGAAGTGTGAGGAGTAGAGAGCCTTGGGCAGTGTGAGCAGTGCGTCTAGGTCAGAGCAGTGTGTGAGACCTCTCACTGCCCACGCCCTGGCTGACTGACTGCCATGACCTGGGTGGAGAAAGGCTCCACCTCTGTCTTTGAGCTCACTGGGGCCTTTTCTGCCCCTGGTCTCTCCATGTGCCAGCAGTGACTGTGTGGTGTATGGAGATTTGCTCTCGCCCTAGGACGGCTAGTGCTATGTCATCACGCACTTTCTCAGTGTTCCCTAGCTACTTTTTCCCTCTGTGAAACCCCTGGGAAGTAGAGTGTCTGTTTGTTCACTGTGAAATAAACATATTTGTATTTGGGTGGAGACTATTTTCAGTGTACACTTTAACCTGGGAAATCTGGCATCTTTATAATATCAATGTGTCCTTTTCAAGAACAAGCTGTTTTCCTATGTGGTTAAGGGCAATGCACTTTTAGGCAGTGTTTTAGTCTCTCTCACTTGGGGGCACACTTTTGCTGTGCGTTTGTCTCATTTGGGGGCACACTTTTGCTGTGTATTGTATTGTGGTGTGCTGAGGTTTTTCTCTCCTGTGACGGTTTCCAGTGGGTCACGGCGCATGGATGAGGCTACTGACTGGGAACATGTTGCTTGAGTGTTACTCTCCTGGGAGCCCTCTGTCATCTGGATTGGCTCTAGCATTGATTTTCTTGGGTTTTCAGGTACATACTGTGCAAAAAGACACTTTTTCTGTTTCTTTTACAATTCTTAGAGGGTAATTTTTTTCTCTTTACTAGAAAATGTGTGTTCACATTTTAAAAGCTGCTAGCTTTAGGACTGAGGGCTAACTAGCTTTCTACTTTATTATTAATGCTCATTTTCACTCACTAATCCTGGGGCTTTTCTTTTATTTTAGCTTCCAGAAAAGCGTCCCACATTTCAGCAACTCCTATCTTCCATTGAACTTCTTCGGGAAAAAGATAAGTCTTGAAGAAATCAGGTGATCTGATAAGAGTGAATCTAGACATTGGCCTAGATTCTCCTCTTTTTAAGGAAGGTAGGAAAGCACAGGCAATGTTATTTAGCTAGTTCTTACTGCCGCTCTGTGTGCTGTTTGTCCACTATGCTATCTAGAAATGAGCAAGGTAGAGAACAAAAGATTTCCCTGAAATTTGGTCAAATTAGTAATCTTGTATATGTAGCTTCCCAGCTAATAGAAGCACATCTTCTGATTGTAATGTAGAGAGAGCATGTGAAGATCGGGCAAAATTCAAAGATTATTTGTTGCATATTTGTTATTTTCTTTGTATCGTCATTCTTGTGATAATTAAATGTGCTGTTAACAAAGACAAGAGTGTGGACATTTGCCTTCGTGTCTCAATGGGTTGAACATGAGCAGGCTTGAGGATCAGCTGGAGAGTTTGTTAAAATTGATTCCTAAGTGCCCCAAAGATTCTGGTAGGAGAGGTCTGAACGCAGCGTGAGATTTTGTATTTTTACCACGTTCCCGGATGTTGCTGATGCAGCCAGCCTGCACTGCCTGGGGACCGCATTGTGTATGGGCATCATTAGGTCCATAATTCAATCCCAGTGGCACAAATTTCATCTGCTGTCCAGATGAATACAGTGACTTTGCTGTTGTGCACACAAGTACGAAGTGAGAACTAAAGGTATTCAACGATATATTAACTAGGTTTCTCATAAAGCAGAATTTCAAAGATGCCAAGGTTTAATTCAATCCCTTTTCCTTACCCTATTGCTAGCAATCTCAACTTAGGGTAATCAATCTTATATCTAGAATTGATTGGATCATTGCTATCATTTTACATCCTCGGGTGTGGGGCTCTGAAGCTTCTGGCTAGTTTGATGATGAGAGCTCCTTTTTCAGTGTACTACCTTGACACAAAGGTATAGAAATACTGTTTAGCTTCAAGACTGTTCCCAGAAGTGCCCTCCTTCACAGCCGGCTGCTGAGCCAAGGGTTTCCGCCTCTTGCAGAGACCTGCATTGCCATTTCTGTAGGAGAAACCTTGGACAAGAAAAAGGTCACCCTCGCCCGGGCAGAGTTTGGTTGCGTTGATCCATGTAATCTATTTTGAGTCCATCTTCAGCTATGTGATGGACACCATGCTCAAGGCCCACCTGGGGACTCTGAGGCACTGAGTGCAGGCTGGTCCCTAACCTGATGTGTGTGTCCCAACACAACTGTTGTTAGTCTCATTGTACAATCAAGCAATGTAAGATATTGGGAGCAGTCAGACAGTGATTTGTTCATGGAGGTGAAAAGCAGGCAGAAGCCCTCGGGAGTGTGTGACACCTGCATTTACTGGTATCTGCTTTGTGCTCAGAGCTGCAGATGCCAAAGACTCAGGTGCCCACTGTGGAGGGTGTATGCAGTTGAGATTCTATTCATTCCATTGTGAGAAAACAGTGGACAAGAGTTTCTGCCCAGTGTGCTCTGAGGGGTATGACTCCTGGAGGCCTCCAAGGCTTGTTTTAAATTGATGGGGAAGTGACAGATAAGCAACTTGGAAGTGAGAAGATGCTGGCATTTGCTCTCTTCTTTAGCCCTGTCCCCCGAAGGCATGGCCTACTGCAGTCATCACCGAGGGCAGGCACTACAGTACTGAGGTTAAGTTCATGTGAAGAGAGGGTGACAGCCCTTCCATTTGAATCAAAGTGAACAGTCTGTGCGTTCTCAGTCCCTGCAGCTCTACCCACTCTTGGGCACCATCTTTAAAAGTGACCCATTCAGGGCCCTCCCTGGTGGCACAGCGGGTTAAAGCACAGCACTAAGAAGCTGAAGTCAATTCAGCATGAGTTCAATCCCCGCCCCGGAGGTGACCCACATGGCGTGGCAGACCTCTCCTGACCCTCCCACTGCTCCCCTCAGCAGTGTACTTTGTTGATCTTTCTGTTCTGCTCCCCGCTCTGTCTCTGGTGAGTCCTCTCACCACCCCTGCACCTCTGGCCTGTACCCCCCAGTTCTGTATGCACAAATAAATCTTCTTTTAAAAAGTGACCCATCCAGAGTCCATACAAGTTCCCAACAGTCGTTCCCACCATATGTCTTCCTCCCACTCCAGCAAGCCAACCAAGCTTTCCATTACCCATGCATGGTCTGTGAGGCCAAAGCCACACTTTCTTGATTATTCTCAAATATAAACATCTCTCTTAAGAAACAGAAAGGAAGCCGAATCCTTATGCAAAAATAAATGCTGCAGGCAGTGCGAGTGCAGCTGCCCTCTTCTCAGGCGTGTCTTCTTAGGACAACTTTTCCTGAATAGAGTCATCATTTTGATATTTTAATGACATCTTTATAATCTCATGTTATCTATACCATGAAATTAACATTTATGTACAGTAAAATCACCTCAAGAGGAAACAAAGTAGGGTGTTCTAAAATGAAGTCTGAGTATCATCACTATTTTGGAATCCTGGGTTATTTTCTCCTGTAGTCAAGTCCTCGGAGGCATAAGGATTCTCTTGACTTGTTTCTTTACTTCTCCTGTTAAATAAAGTGAGATCACCTTAATATTGAGACATTAGATGACACTGCCTTCCGCAGACCCCACTGGCCCAGGCATCTTACACCACAACATCAAATCACTGATGTGCTCATTTGCAAATCCTCTTACCAGGTTCTAAACACCTGGAAGGCACTGACCCTGCCACTGGTTGGCACAATGGCTGGCAGGCCACTGGAGATGGGTTAGGGGTATGTGCCCTGCAGTGGGGTGTGGCCAATTCGGAAAATGACGGCCATGATATGAAGTCAGTGAGGAAATGCTGCCAGGCGCTCACAGTAGCTGGTGTATGGATTAACCGTCACTAGTATTATTAGGAACGGAGCGGTTATTCAGCTAATGGCATCATTTTAAAGAGCTTCCCTGCTAAATGATCAACTTTGAAAGTATAAACAAGTCAGGACAGGACAGCTTTGAAGTACAACAACGGTTTTGAAAACTGGGCATACCCCAACCTAATTGATGGACTGCGTAAAAGCAAGTTACTTGCCCTCTGCGGGGCTCAGTTTGCACACACCAGGTAATGCCCATACAGTACTGGGTGAAGGTGCTGAGAAGGCCTGCGGGCCTACTTTTCTGTGCACTCTCACCAGCGCGTGTGTGGTGAGGGGTGCCCTATGTAATCTGAGAGTAGCTCACGGGCATACCCCATAATGCGGAAGAGTGCTGCTTGATCAGTGTGCATGTGGTCCTCCTGGGGGTCACTAACATGTGCACTCTGAGAAGCTGACACTTTTGGTTGGCTTTGGAGGGGAACTTGGAGCAACAGTGCCAGGGAAACTTTATTCTTTGGTATTTAAACATTTTTTAACCGTATGAATGTATTTCTGCAGTCTCTATTCTTTCAACTGAATCTATTTGGGGGGGACTAAGAATCTCTATAGTGAAGCAAATTGAGCAAAATGGACTAGTGTATGTAAAAATTCAGCTAAGAGTATATTTAAGTAACCTGAAGTGTGCATAAAGTTTTGATAGGTGCTCTAGTTATGAATCTTAATTACACAGCTCACAGAAGTAAATGTCTTTTCCAACAATGGGAGGGGCAGAATCTAAAGGTAAAGCAAGAATATACATCAGGTTTCTAGTGAGTGAAACCTTTGCTAAGCTTGGATCTTCAGTGCAAGAACAAACCAGAGGGTGTCTGGCCCACACACCAAGGGATTAGAGCAAGCTAGGGCTATCTGAGGCTCAATGAAGATGACCAAAAGAGTAGTTGGGAGCAAATACTAAAGCTCATTCTTGAATGATCTCAGAGTTCAAACCCTTCAGTGATTCAGTCTCAGGGTCATTTGTCGACAAAGAGGTACCCCTGGGTGAGATTAGTACCCCGAGCTTGCCCACCCCTGCGGAGCTGGCCGTGCCTCCCAGAGGAGAAATGACACTGTGGTCAGGAGTTGACCTGGACGTTCTAATAAAACCCAGGCCTGACACCTTCTGTGTAGCGTTGGCCAGGAAGATGATGTGCTGACTAAAATCTGCTCAGTTTCTAGGGGCTGCATGAGAATATTTAGGTGCAAAATGGTTGAAATAAGTTAATTGTTTGGTACAACTTAGCATTTAATGACAAAGTTTCTAGTTCTCTAACCTTTCTGATGTCAAATGCAGATAAGTCTAAGAAAGGCCACTTACTTCCGACGTTCTCTGATCCCAGTGAAAATGAGCACAACGATACCAATCACGACCACTGCCATCACGATGCCAAAAGCGATCAGCCAGATGTCTACAGGTGGCTTGTAAGGTGGTGCCAGTGTGGGGTAGATGCCCACAAACTCCAGGCTGTTGTCATCCAGGCGGAAAGCATCATTGATGCGGCCCCGGGACAGCCTATTCCCAACAGCAGAACACTTAGGCAAAAGTACACTTAACTAAAAGTATGTGTGATCATTTACTCCTTATACCATTGTTCCAGAATGGATTTGACAAAGCATCTCCTAACAATGTACACAGAAAAGAGCAATGAGATCAAAGTATTCAATAAATAACCAGGTCCAGTGAAAGACAGGAATTTGAAAAACAGACTGCTAGATTATAAGAACAAAATGGTTGCCAAAGGGTATGTTGTAGAGTGGGATGAAACTAGACGTTGGTGGGGAGGATAATATCTGTACAAATGTGGAATTACAATGCTGGACACCTGAAACTTACATAATGATTTCAACCAATGTTACTTCAATAAACTTTTTTTTAAGATCAGAGTTTTGATAATTATGCACCTTTCATTTCTTGTGACTGCCATTAAATCTGGCAACAACTTCGCTGGAAAATGGGGCTGCAAGTGTGAAACATGAAATGGCCGGCACCCGCTCACTTGTGCTGGCTGTGGGAAAGCAGCGCGCAGATTTGGCAAGAATGTCCCTGGTGTCTGAGAGGGGCTGTGCAGCAAGCAGCAGGAGAGGACAACTGGGTGCGTGCCTCTGCTACAAATGAACCTGGCACTCTACAAATCTCCACGGAGGTATATTCCAAGCTGAAGGTGTTGACTTTGGGAGGCAGCGCTGGGGAGGAGACAGAACAAGGCCCTTGCAACTTCTCCAGCACTGGGATGGGACACAGGTGAACTTCACAGAGGAAGAAAGATGATTCTTTTAAAAGCAAGACAAAAAATGGATTGTCTTGTTTAGTCTGGATGGAACAAAGCATCTGGCATCCGGCTCCTTTCCTGGGGTCTGGTCCAGGTCAGAGGTCAGAGTCCATCCAGAGAGGGGAGAGGTCAGAGCAGAATTAGCCATGTGACCCCAGGCAACGTCAATCTGAAAGTGTCTCCTGTTGTTCTAGAAAGAGCAAGTTTGAGGGCTGGGCTCTTCCGCCATGATCTCAGCCAGCACTTCCCCACAAGGCCGATTCGAGTTTGGCCCAGGCAGTGAGTCTCTGGGCGCGGCTTGTTTGTACGTCCCAGCTACGCCAGGTTTTCTAAGCTCATCCTGGCCAGCAGGCCTTTCTGCTGTGAGGATGACTAGCAGCCCACGAGGGTTACCAACTAAGTGTGCCCATCACAAGTAGGCATCTTACACTTTTTTCTTTCTTTTTTAAATTCTTAATTATGTTATTGAAGTAACATGAGTCTATAATACTGTAGGATTTATGGGCACAAGTTCGTACCTGTTCAGGTGTATGTTACCACACCACACCCACCACCAAGACCCCCTAGAGCTCCACCACAGCGCACTGCTCCCCAGCCCACCTTAGTTCTTTAGTCAGATTTAAGGCTTGTGTTGCTTTATTACTTGGCTATAAAAAAAAATGTTGCCATCCATCACAATATGGAACTGGAGAAGATTTACTAAGCAAAATAAGTCAGAGGGAGAAAGAAAAGTACCGAGATGGCCTCACTCGTATGCAGGATATAAAGCAAGCAAGCAAAGGGGCAAAAGTAAAATGAAGCATCTTTTTAATGACTGGGGACTCACAGATCCCTCTTCATACTGGCTGTTTGGGGAAACAGCTGAGGCAAATTGGGCAGCCTGTCCTTGGAAATACCACCCATCAGGCCTCCCTTGGTACGGAGGCTAACCATCGTCTAAGGAATTTGAGTCTCACCTACCTTGTCTCAGGCTTTGGTTCATTAACGAATCCTCCATCAAAGTTCCTAGAGCCAGACAAGCCTGTGCCTCTTCTGTAGTGATCATTTTCCATGTGTGCTGGCAAGACTTTCCTCAGCCAGTACCTGCTGCCTCAGCCCTGCCCTACCTGCAGGCTGGAAGTGCTGGGGAGCTCTGAGCCACCTGTAAGCAGTTCTCAGCCAACAACTTTGTGGGAGGCGGTGAATAAATAGCCCAGCTCTGAAGGGACAGCTCAGGTGCAAGTTCTCGCCTCCCAGAATTCCCCAGAAGAATGGAGTTCCGGCTGGCCACTTCGGCAACTCCCCATATGTGCTGTCTGTTACCTGCCTTTCATCCTCTGTCCTCCTGTCCTAATTTCTCTGTCAGTGAGTTTAGAGATCCGGCCAGTAAACTGCTTACTCTCACATCCTTGGGTAAGGGCCTGCCTCTGGAGTAACCCAAGTCATGGCTATTTCCTGACAACGGGAGCCTGCTAACATTAAAACAGAAGTTTCAAGGTGAGGGAAAACATGTAAAAGACTAAGGACAGTGGCTGATCTACAGGGAGGCACACAGAGCTCCACCATTCTTGCTACTGTTGCATGTGTTAACCCCACACCCTGGTATGAGTAGTTTCACCTGATGGCCTCTTCCACTTGGCTCTTTGGAAAGACTTGAGATGGGTTCTCAGGTGAGGTGACAATGAAGCTGAAGGAGATTCTTGGTTTGAAGTTAGATATACACACGTTGGCTTCCCTGTGGAGACACAAAGGATTTGTTCCCTTGGGGCACGGAGGAAAATTACCACACATGCAATATGTATATTAAAACATAAATATTAAATGGTCTTCTGGTAGTCTGTGATTCAAAAAACTATGCCATGTTGATAGCTTAGGAGGAGTTACATTTTTAAATGTAAAATAGTTAATAACTAAATCTATAAAATATAGGTTTGTATTTATAAATATACACATGGTATTCTACATAAGCTCAATAAAGGCAGAGATGTCTGCCTTTTTCATGGAGTGTTGGGAGTGTTCAGGGGAGGGAAAGAGGGGGAGAAGAGGAGAGGTGAGAGCGGAGGACTATTATATTTAGTAATAAGGGTGCTCTCACAGTCTACAGGTCAAATAGTTATAAATCATCCCCCTGCAGAGTGGCCCTAACTCTGGGACATCAAAGAAGCTTTAAAATTATTAGGTTTTCTCAATTTCATTTGAATAAGAGCTGGCTGAAATAAGTGGAGAGCAAATCAACTTACCCAAAAGGAATCGTCTCATTTTTCACTTTTAGAAAATATTCTCTCATGGCATATGCAATAGATGACTGGAACAAGTACATCTCGTTTTCATTCCATTCATACTGCAAATTCAGAGGGAAAACAGCTCAGTAGGGATCGCAGCGTATATGCCAAGCCCGAGAATCCACACGCATTATGTCTCATATGCCACCATTCCAAAGGTCCTAGCTTTTAAGGCAGTGACCTCCAACTCGAGTGAGCTGCAGGAACAGCGGGGTGCTGAACCAGGGAGTACTGGGCCAGACCCTGCGCCTTCCCCACACACAGGCTTTTGGATGAGACCCGAGAGTTTGCATCCTAGCTAGCTCAGAGGAGAGCTTGTGCTGTCTGTTGTCCTTCAGGCAACTATGCTTTCAGAAACATTGGGGGTGGAGGGGTCGTCATTCATTCCTTTGACATACTATGCAACAGTAACACATTCCTACTGGGTGTGAGCCCAGTTTACTCCAGCGCTTGGACATCTTTTCCTATCAATTAATGGTAATAGCATTCCCATCCCCCCCCCCCCAAATATCCCACCAAATAGGACCAGCTCTACTTTTGGGTAGTGGTGGATACCTGTATTTTAGGTTGTTGTAAATGGAAATAAACACCCTGCCACAGATTTACACATAGGTAAATGGGTTTACCTATCTGCAATGGGTCATGAGTGATGGATTTTCGTTAAAATGCCCGTCTTGTAGACAAATAAACCGAGTGGACTATTTTTATAGCAAATTCTGAGATGTGTAAAGTGTAAAAGAACAGGAAACTTGGGGTTCCAAGAAAGAATACTTTGTAAATAACAAGGTAATTTTTTTCTTGTTTTTCAGCGTTAACAAGCAGCTGACGTATTTGCGTAGTCTGTGTTAAAAGTTGCATTCAGTGTTGCCGCCAGCAGCCGGCAGTAGAGATCAGCGAACCGCACGAAACCTGCTGCTCTCCTTTCGCTCTCAGGAAAAACTTGCACGATTTCACGGGAGCATTATTAACATTAACTTCAGCGCGGGGCCACTCGGTTTGGGGGAAGTTGCTTTAGTAGTAATAATCATTACTGTTACTATTATTATTAAAAATATTCTGGTTGCCCATAGACCAGAGACATTCTGTGGGGGTGGAGTGGGGAATGGGATCAAAAACGGGGGGTGGGGGGGTGGGGGGGGAATGCACGGGACTATGGTGGTGGCACAGGGGTGATTTGGTGATGGGAAACCCGTGGGGATTACAATTGAGATGAAAAAAAAATGTGCAAAATGATGTAAAAATAAACTTTTTAATTAAAAAAAAATATTCTGGTTGCCACTTCTATATTCAAAAAAAGAAGAAGGTAGGTAGAGTTCTCAACAGAATGCCAAAAATCCAGTAGAATTTGCCATGAACTAGCTTAAACTGGGCACATTTCCTGGCCGTGGTGCATGGACATACTAAAAGTACAGCTCGGTCTCATCAAAGCCACACTGGGGAATGAGGCACCTCCGTACTTACTTCTTTCCTAACTATTTCTTTTACTCCTACAATGTCACTTATTTAGGAGCCTTACTTATCTATGAAAATTACACTATAAGCCTTGGACAATATTTAACTGCTCCGGAAAAATAAGGAGGCGATCTTTGGATCTGTCCAAAGCAAATACTGTTCTGTACTCACAGGCTGCCCTCAAATTCTGCAAAGCCTCAGGCCCCCTACCCTGCCCCCCAGCCCCAGGTCTCTGACCAGGACTAGTCCTCTCCTGTTCCCCAAGCAAAACCGTGACTTCCAGAGATTTGCAAACAAAACTATTATTTAATTCTTTCTTCTCAAAACCAAACCAGGACTTCCTCAGGCTGGACACCCTAACAAGACTGTTTAGGAAAAAGCAATAGCTAGTTACAGTAATTGCTCACTTAAGGGTGTCAGTAACTTGATTTTATTTAAGACATTGTGTTACCCCAAAATGCATTGCTATAGCAGGGCTTTGAAAATAGCTGAATGAGAATCGCCTGGGGCATCTTTCTCTCTTGATGCCCAGCTTGTGAGGCCACACCCGGAGTGGGCCTCAAGCTTTGTTTGCTGGAAACACCCAGGTGATTCTAAGGGCAGCCCATTTCGGGGTGTGCCCTAGAGCAGAGCTTCCTGCCCTTGCTTGTGCACACAGTTTGCCTGAGGAGCTGGGGAAAGGAGGCTTCTGGTTAAGCAGAATCTGAAGAGTGGGGTGCCTAGGGTTCCACATTTTTAACAAGCCTCCAGGATGTAGCTGATAGACTAAAACTAAACAAAATGAGCTCTACCGCTTCTAAAAACAACCCCTCACAATAAAATCAGATCCCTCTCCCTTGAACAGAACAGTGGCCGCTGAACTGGGAGGGTGGGTATTTGATATTTAACACGACTTGTCATCACACCTTCTAGGTAACAAGGAAAAGTGCAGACATAGCCAGTCTACTGGGGGAAGGATCCTGAACAAACTCCACAAACAGGTTTTATGGACCCCACTTCCACCCCAGACCAATGTGAGCCAAGACACCAAGGACTATAATCCCATATTGTCATCACCACTGAGGGGAGGATGCTGGGACCTGGGTAGAGTTAAGCAGCCAGGTTTGGTATATAACCAGACATGTGGGTCTAGGGGACCCCTGGTTTTTTGGGCAGCTTTCAGGTTGCTTTTGGGGTCCCCACTGAGTGGAACTGGTAGGACACATGCACCAATTTGTTTCTCTCTCCCTGAGTTATTCCTTTCTTTATTTCTCCTTTTTGTAAACAAACCCTTTATTACCCTTTTTGTGTGTGCCTGTGGCTGAGTTTTATTATAAGTCCCTTTTAAGTGTGAGGGTGAGGACCCACAGTCAGGCCACTCCATTTCACATTAGGGTTGCCTTGGGTTTGTTACTGGCCCGTAAGGCCATAATCTGGGGCTTGTTATTTCTAAGATAGCCACGAGGCCGCTCCCCTTTCAGGCCACGCTGGAAAGGGCTTGTGTCCATTTAAGAGAGTACATTGAGGGTAAAGAACACACTGTCCAGAATACTCACTGCTTCATCTCCAAGGGCTGATTTTAGGCTTATCCTCACTTTGATGTTTTGCTCGGAATCTGATTAAAGAGAAATCACAGACCCTTGTTGCAAGCAGACTGACCAAGTGTGTTTATATCCTCCCCCAACCTCTGCCCCCCACCTCCAGGCCCCACTACAGTGATAGTAAAGGATTAAAAAAGAAACACTCTTTTGGGAAATGAGAAGCGACTGAGCTCTCTCCAGAGGCAGGGAACCATGGCCCCCTCCTATGTCCAGAGGGCAGGATAGACACAAAGGCACCAGCACATCCCAGAGGGGCTTAGGATTCAGCTACAGCAGAGAGTAGGCGGCAGATACCAAGCTGAAAATAAGGAGAATGAAAAACAAGATACAGCTAAAGCCACTTTGGGGAACACTTTGGGGCCTCCAACCCCCACGTGCTCCTCATCAGTCACTTGGAGGCTCAACTTGGAGGGAGGCTGGGCTGCAGCAAAGCAAGAGGGGGCCCAAGAAAGATGATGTGGAATCCAGGGGACATAGGATTCCACCCAGAAAAGCAGCAAAGGGGTGAACATTGTTGTCCAGATGGATAGGAGGAAGAGGGAAGTCTTTAGAAAAAATGAGACTGAGAAGAATAGACTTGTTGGCAGAGTTAGAAAAATGAATGCAGCACAGATAGCAAATTAGTCCTGAAAAAAGAAAGCAAGTAGAAGCTCTGAGAAAAAAAAAACACATACAAACAGGATATAAAATAGTATGTAACTCGGCTTCGCACAGATAATGGTGCAACCATTGATGATTTCTTTGCTACAAGTTATGGTAGTCTTACAAGACGGCTGAGAAAGAGAGGGGAAGAGAAGCAAGAAACCACTAAAGAAATAACAATATAAACAGGTTGCTTAGAAATAGGAACGCAACTGCCAGAAAGAATAGATAATGAAGTACAACAGTTCCAAGTGCTTGTCTTCTTGGAAGGCAGAATTCAAGTATGGTGGGAGGTGGATGGAGAGTGTTGGGCTCTTGTCCAGGACATGTGCTGATCAGCAGGAGAGAGCAGCTTCCTGCCCTGCTACACAGCAGCTGACCAGAAGCTACTGTTTCCTCTGGTAAAATGGCGGCTGCTGCCGTGGCACCAGCAGCCGTGGGGCAAATGGGGGGAAGGTGCTTCTGAGTCCTGACTCAGAATGGAGCAGGGAAGACAGGGGAGGCAGAATGGAATGATTTGAAACGCGTCCGCTGGAGGTACCCACTGGAAGGACAGCTAGTGCTCCACCCCACGAAAGAATTCCTGTTCTGCTCTTTCAGCCAGGTGAACAGAGGCTCGAAGTAGTTGAGCAGTGGTTTCACATTCATAGTCTTTTCTCCTACAACTTTTTCCAATGCCAAGGGCCAGGATTCGGATCTTCCAAGGCTCAGCATTTCGCTACATGAGAAAAGGGTGAGTTAGGTTCAGGATCTGCTCAAGGATTCCAGGTGTACATTTCTGTGCAGAATGACCTATGTTTTTCCCCCCTTTGGGTTGGCTCAGGGTGCTCCTGGCAGGTAAGGAAATGCAGCATGTTGCCAGGTGCATATTCATCGTTCAGCCTCCTTCCCTTCCAATGACCAGAAAGAGAACTCTATCACTGCGACATGGCGAGAGGAAGGGGGCCTGTCCCACCCTCACAGGTGGCTGCGTGGCCAGAAAGGACGCATCTCATTTGTGGAGCAGGGTATTTCGAGGCTAAGCCTTTTCTTTCTAGCACACGGAAATCAAATTCAAACCCAGGCATGGAAATGGGTGATGGGGGGGGGGCCAAGGGAGGTGCAGCCTTTTGAAGCATTTCTTACAGCAGCTTCGCCCCAGCCTCCTTGGAATTTGAGATGTCACACTTGTGCAGGGGGCCTGTATGTTGAGCTGTCCGACAAAGGGCTTCTTGGAACTGGAACTGATAAATGGTCCTTGTATAGTATCTGTAAAAGAGACCCGAACAAGGAGGCCCTGTTTGGTTACTGAGGCAGAGTCACAGAGGCGGATGCAGGTGGGCATTCTGAGACCCAAGTCACCAAAGACATCATAGGGTAGCCTCTCTAGAAAGACTCAAACGGGGGCTCTACAGACTCTTCATCACCTACTTCATTTTTGTACCAGCTGACAGGAAGGCAGAATCCTGTTGTGAGAGGTTCGCTGGCACCTCTTGTGTTTTACAGGTTTACAGCCTGCGTCTCCAGGACGCTCATGACAGGTCAATGCCCTTAGCAACGGGGGCTCAGAAAAGTTAGTATCTGCAGCTAATGGATGAAGAACACAGGGTTTTGGACTTGAGGTTAAAAATGCTCTTTTTATCAGTCACTCTGAATTCTGCCACATAAAAAGACAAATAAAAATCTTTTTTATTTCTCCCAAGGCTACTATAAACTCCTTGAGGGTGGAGAAAAGGTCTTACACATGTTTTATTTCACACAACTGGCACTGAGTAAAACTGAATTGAAACTGATCACCTCTTCTGAAGTTCAAGGGAGGTAGGCGGAGAGTGAGGAGAAGTAATAGTCCTCACCTCATAGATCCCCATTTCTCTGCCCTCACACAGCCATCCACAACCCCTGGAAATGAAACATTGGGGGAAAAAAACTGCCACTTACCGAATGAATGAGTAGTCGTTAGAGACATGGAACAGAGTCGCAGGGTCACAGTAGTTCTCATCATGGGGTACAGGTTCTGCCACTCCAACGATCTCTCGCCTTTGGGGGAAGATAAATTAGCTGCAGCTCAGCCACCCTGAGCAGCAGGGTTGAGTGCAGCTGCTGCATTTTCATCGGCCAGGGGCACTATACTAGAATTGGTCATCAGGCAAAACAGAAGCAATGTGAAACATTACAGAATCAGGCCCAGCACGTGGCGCTCTTGTACTCATTGTAATTCAGCTGGAAGAAACCGTTGGGCAATAGCTGTGTCTTCCAAACACTAATTTAATACAATGCGATGCCTTGCCACAAGCACTCGGCAGAAGTCCTAATAGTTCCTCTCTGGCCCACACTTTATGTGCTCCTGGCAGACAGAATTTTGTAAAACAGAAAGTTTACTTGTTCTTCAAGGCTCACTCAGATGTCACCTCCTCTCAGGCCTCCCCCCTGGTCACACCCACCTTCCAGCCTCTGACCCACCAAACTAGGCTTTGGATTCTCTGTGGGTCCTCACAGCCTCCCATCACAGCAGTGAAGACGCTGCAGTGATTTCCTTTCCCAGGCCCATCCATATTCTAAAAGTTCTTTGAAGTCAAAGAGAACATCTGAAGGGAACGACATGGACTTTCGAATCCTGTCTAAAATGTGGGTGCAGTGTTTTTGTTTAAGGGAATGAAAAATGAATACACGATCACTTCTTAATAAGATAATGATCTCATGGGCTACCCAACCCTTAAGAAGCTGGATCATGAGCGATTGTTCTGACCCTGCATGGGTGGAGGGCAGAGGCAAGGAAATGCTATCTGAGGAGAGGTGCCCAAATGACGACTTTAACAGGGAGCAGTTGGTGTGAGTGTGCAAGTGTGTGTTTGCTGTGATGGGATCTCCCGAGCCTGAATGCTCTTCTCTCGTGCTTTCACATATTTAAAATCACGTCGCTGGATTTTGGAATTTAGCTATTGAAATTCCAGTAATTCTAACTATGACGCCTTCTCGGAGAATCCCAACTCTAGTTGTCTTAGACTGGGTTCCCTCAGAAGCAGAGCCTGAGACAAGCTCAGTGGGAAGTGATCCCCGGGAACACTGGCAAGGGACTGAGGAAACAAGAGTAAGGACAGCAGCCTCCCAAAGGTGTGTTATCAACCAAGTTACCAAAACCCCTGAGGAACCCCAGGATTCGGGGTGAGCGCTCCCTTCAGTTATCCCACTGGGGGCAAGGAAACGGAAATACTTCTCCACCAAGTCCCATCAGCCATTGCTGGGAGTTCTGGTGGCTCAGGACACCGTTAGGGCATAAAATACAGATACTACACTGTGTGTGATAGGATGTGATAAGCCCGTGTGTGTGTGTGAGCACAGAGGCACCTGTGCACGTGGGCGCACAGGCCAGCCGAAGGCTTTCAAATAAACAGCAAACTCAATGAGAAAACATTTTGTAATTATATATTCATGGACTTACTTCATCTCCCACCACTTCTTCATCCACTGGTCTTTGGGAATTTCCTCCTTAAAGACCATCCACCTCCACTTTTCCAACATGTAAGTAAATGGCAGTGTTCCAACGATGGTAAGTGCTTGTTTGAGCAGGAAGTTTATTTCTGTTTCTGAAGTAAAGTGGAAAAGGATCAATGTTAAGGTAAGACTGAAGTGGACGTTTTGTATTCAATAATTTCCTAATCTCAAGATACAATTCCTCAATATATACTTACTGTAAGAGTATAATCTCATAAAGATTATGAGAAATATTACTGTGGACATAGTAACACGTACATATTTATTTTCTCACTTAAGGGATTTAGAGTAGGGTAAGCCTTGAATGGAACAGGTAAAATAGATGCACAAGAAACACCAATCATTTTTTTCATTAGTTTCAATTGCCATCCTTAAGCACCTCTTATCAGTGCTAATTAGGATCCTTTATTTCTTTCCCAGTCAAGCTGTTTATTCTTATAAGCTCCACAAAGACAGTGACTGTTATGTCTCATTCAAGACTGCACACTAGCCTGGTGTCTGCTACATGGTGCCCTCTGTGGCTCTTCATGAAATAGGTGAATATTAAACAGATGTGGGGGCGTGATAAAACAGTAAGTCAGGGAGGAAAGAAACACAGAGAACGTCCGGGAGGAAGCCACTGGCAGACGATGAGAAGTGCAGTGTACTTTACAAGAGCTGCTCTCTCCCCGACAGGTGTCCCGTGCTTTGACAAAACAGCCCATGCCATTCACTTTACGGGTGATGTAAAACGGCAGCAGCGCTCACCTCTCAGGTACACATGAGGCCCCTGACATGTGAGCGGGGCAGATTAGCTACTTAGCAGCACTGTGCCTCTAGCGCCTAGCAGGAATGCCTTCCCTGTATGTCCATGTGCTGGACACATATTTTTGGAAGAGAGAAAAAGGGAGGAAGAAAGGGAAAGAATGAAGGAATGTATGTTCACAAATTCACAATCGGGGCAGAGCCAAGGAAAGACATGGGAGTGTTTCAAGACAGTCCTTAACCACGTCTGGTACTCTTACTGATTCAGACAAGGAACATTGCTGTCAGGGGATATTGTTAAATAATAGAACAAGTAATTGTCTGTCCATTACTTGGTGACCCTCTCCTCTGCTGCCCCCTTCATGGGAGGGTGCCACTATTGGTCTGTTACTCACAGGGTCTAAGCCTATGCTCACATGTCCCGACATGGTAAATGGCTTTATATTGAGGTCTGGAGCCAGAAATGAAGGCAAAGTGAGTCGCACATGCAAGCCTGGTGCTCATGACCTTGAGCTCATTGACCAAACATTCCAGTTGGTGGAGCTGATGACTATGTCCAGATAGCTAAAATAGGGCAGAGAAATATACAAAAGAGAATCTATTTGGCTCTAAGTATCCTCCTTTCGAAATGAAGAATCAAAAGTCATGGCGTGCTCACTGAAGACTCTGGGTCTTGTGGGAAATTGCCATGTTCCAGCAGGTCCAAGCCGTCCCAAGAGAAATAGCTGCTTCAGGCAAAGATGCTGAAGCCCTGCATGGATCTGTGGGGTCTCTTGAGGCAAACGGAAGCCTCAGCTGGATGAACGACACGTTTCAGCCCCTCCTAAACTCAAGAGGCCACCACCTGTCGTCTAAGAATGCCTAAGTTTCAAGTTACACTTAGCTTTGCATATTGTGGAAAAGCCTTAGTTTAGGGTTTCGGTTCTGCTTCGTCATGTTTCTTGCCATTGGACTAGCAATCCTCCCTCTCATTTCTGTTTGTTCTTCTGAAAATGGTTTGTAGGATCTATTCCAGCCCGAGAATTTGGGGGAATTTTTACTTAGAATCAGGGGGATCTACTCAGAACTCAGACTCTAATTGACTGGGTGACCTGGGACAAACCATTTGTGTTCTGTGGGCCTGTTTCTTCATTTTAAAATAATCTGTAAGGTGTTTCTTAACATCCCAACATCATTCATTCAGTTACCTCACTTAAGCCCTTTTCAAAGATACAAAACCACAGGTGTGCGTGGGCTGACATACACTTAAAAAACATATTTTATGCAACAGCAATTCTTCACTACCCATAAATACTTCACAATATATGTGGCAAAAATTCAATCTAGTCTGTGCACAATAACGAATACGTGTGTCCACATCAGACTAAAGAAGCCTCAAAGCAAACCATGAAAAAACACCCATACCAGGGTCTTCAGAAAAGTCAGCTGGCAGAAGGCCTAGGGATTTCAAGTGTTTGGGGGTCGCTGCAGACAGTGACATGATCTCCCCGACGGCTTCATGGAAGCCTTCGTTAGCTCCGCTTCTCAGCAGGTAGGGTTGCTTAGCATATGCCATGTCATACTGGATGTGGCCCATCTCATGGTGGGCTGTCAGGAAGTCATCCATGGTCACCTTCGTGCACATTTTGATCCTGCACAAAATCAGGCAAGATTAAGATAAACCTTGAGTGCCTACCTTTTGCGCCCTAGAAACTGTATCAGGTGCCTGATATAAAGTGATGGGCACAGCTGAATCCTGTTCTGCTTATAGACTAACAGAAAGATAAGCATAATCTTCTACCACCAACTGAGGCAAGTGCTCTGTAAGTGATCAGTAGGCATGGCCTTGTGGGTAACAATGAGTCAATGCAGGCACAGCTGCACCAAGACAGGCACAACTGAGGCTGCAGTGAGCAACCTTGGCCAAATCAACATGCAGGAGTTTGCCAGGTGGATGGCAGGGAGAAGTAAGATGTTACCATTCCTGTCAAGGTTCAGCAAGGTTCTCAGTCAATGGTGACTGCTTGAGTCCAGCTTGTGAAAAGAATGTGGCATTCAGGACTCTGCAGTTTGGTATAATCAGACAGAGAAGTGGGAGAAGGAACTGGAAAGTGGAGCTGGGGATCATCCACACTAAGTAAAGGAGTGCATGTGAAGGCCACGGAGCAGGTGCAGAACGGCAACAGAGGCCAAGACAAAGCCCGAGCGAGTCCCGACCTGGAGTGGAAGGAGGAAGATGGTTCAGACAGGAGTCAAAGGAGTCCAGAGGAGACTGACAATACAAGCATCGATGACAAATAGCATTTCAAAGAGCCCATAAGCAGTTCTGCTACTGCTGTGGCCCAAGGAAGTGAGGACCACACTCAGTAGCTGTGTGGCCATCCTTTCCAACTTGGCAAGAGCAGTTTCATTCAGGTGGCTGTAGGGGTCATATTCTAGCACTTCCCAAATTAACTTTCCTGCTATTCTAACATGCCTTCTTCAGTGCCTTGGGCCAGCTGGGAGACGCCTGGGAGATCCCCCCAGCCCCCCACTGGTGATCCACAACCAGTTCCTGATTAATATGAGGGCTGGAGGGCAACGGCCAGTCCCCTTTCCTCAAGGTGAGACCAGCACTGGGGTCCACATCCTGCCCCAGAGAACCCCCTGGGATCACGCTGAGGCCTCATCCTGACTTAACCCTTTCCCTGCCATCCTACTCCCCTCAGCCCCTTCACCTGAGTGTTATCCCTCAACAAACCACTTGTACAAGAATCTCCATGTCAGCTGGGGACCCCAGCCTAAGACACAGGTCTTCAATCTCCTTTTCCACTTTAGAGACAAGGAAAATGAAACCCATGGTGGTGCAATGCCTCACTCGGCCGCCTAGTCCCTGGGCGACATGCCTGGGACTCAGAAGGCTGTTCATTGTGCCACCTCACGCAGGTGCCTGCTCACATGCCCCTCATTCTAGCCTCGGCCGCTCAGTCCGCTGCACAATGCCAGGCCTGCCTGTCTGCACTCGAAGCTCTCTGCTCCCAGACTGGTGTCCTCCTCCAGGCTCACCTGCCCAAACCCTCCCGCCTGTCTAGCCTAATTCCCACTCCACCCTGAAAGCTATCTGATTCTGCCCCTCTGCTCCGATTGGCTGCTGTATGTCCTCTCTGCCCTAGGCACATCCATCCTACCCCAGCTTGTATATTCAACTGCCATTCTTGCTCACAAGAGGGCGAGGCTCAATGCCCGGCTCGTCCATCCATTCTCCATGATTCTTAGTGCCCAAAATGCCCAAAGGTGGGCACCACCCCTGCTCCAGGTCATGCAACTGTAGTGTATGTGTAGAATTTCGAATGAGGCAAAGGGTTCTAAGGTTCCACTTAGGGCTGGCTTCCTGGCAATCCCCTTTTCCTGGGAGAACCCCGGTGTGAGCTCATGTGCTCCTAGCATTCATTCAGTGAGAGTCTGTTTATCTCTTCTGTGCTTAGAGAAGCGGAGAAGGAATACTCTGCCTGCCTGCCACTGTCCCTCATACTGGTATCAGCCATAGGTATCAGCCTCACTACCTGAAGTCACCCTTTCCCAGGTCCCAAGCTGTGGGGTGACAGACCACTTTCCGGCCATCTTTTGGCTCAGTTAGCATGGAGTTTTCCCAGAATCCTTGAGTCATATTAGGAAGGCCCACAGACACAAAGAACTTCTCAGCTTCTCTGAATATCCTGTTTGCATCCCAGCCCTGGGTGGAAGGAAAGAACAGTATTTAATTCGAGCATCAAAATCATAGCATTCTTTCTGTCAGATATATACGAGACATAATGTTCCAGGAAGGAGATTTGGATGTGTAGCCAGTTTTCAAAGTGTTTATACACATTGTCTCCGTAATTCTGTCTCTAGGGAATTAACCTAGAGAAAGACTCATATTGTCTCTAACAATGATGACTTTTAGTATGTGAAAAATCTAAGGATATTCTTTTTTACTGTTCATAGATTTTTGTTTACTAGTTATATACTGTTTTTAGTAACACTATGTAGAAATTAGAGGCTGACAACTTAGCAGTGATGAACTTTGGAAAGAGTGATATGAACCAGTTGAAATTTGACATGTTATTGCTTAATGGAGAGCTCAGGTAATCTCTATTTTAAATAGTCCTCAGCAGGATCAACACCATACCTGTCATTCAAGGTACTTGATGTCACTGATGGTGTAAACTACTTTCCCGTGAAAAGGTAGCTATGTGAGGAACAAATCAAATTCACGTGAAACATTTTGACTTACGTGGTTTCTTAGGCAAAAGAGAAGAAGAGAAGGATGGCATGAGAAGGAAAGCAGTTGAGGATTTAGAGCTGGTGTTCAAGGTTTCTCCTTCCTACCTGTTTCACCATTTCATCAGTGACATCTATGTTTGGTTTATGTCCAAAGGGGACTGTCAAGCGGTACAGATTTGTCCAAAATCTACCCCACATATCACCTATTAAAAAAAAGATTTGTTAATTCACGACAAAGACAGCAGGCACGGAGACCTGATTTGACATAGCACATGAGGTACTAGCCACACAGTATTCGAGATTTCATTTCGTTTCTGTGCTCCCTTTTCACTACTTCTTTTCCCTCTCTCTGAAACTTAAAACATGTGTTTCAGTGGTGGCTGGGGCAAGGGGTGGGGGCATTGACATACATCTGAGGAGGTGTGAAATGAAATCACAGTGTTCTAAACCAATGTTGCCTCTATTAAAAAAACCAAATAAGTAAAATTTTCAATGTGTTCTTTTAAAAGTCTCCTCTAAATGGTTAAAATGATAGGAGGTTGAGATTAAGTGGGCAGGTAAAACTTGTTAAGGAATTACCCAATTTCTCCCATTTCAAATTATGATTCAAACGTGCAATATATTACAAAACATCTCAACCACTATTGATTCAAAACAGAATTACATAATCCACCATTTAGGAGACAAAATAAGACAAATAAATGATTACTAATCCCTACTATTAGAATCAAGAGAATCATCATTTATGAATTTCTGCTCACTAGCAACAAGTTTTAATTTTGTTACTAGGCTATAAGTAATATGTTTAGCAGGGTGATGTTCTCTGGAAATTGCAGACAAATGCTAAATCTGACGCCAGGGTCAGAGAAGATGGAGCCAGAAGAGAGTCAATCTCATAGCAAGCCAAGATCCTGGCACCAAGGTAAGGGGGCAACGCTGAAGTAGTTTGATGAGCTCTTTTTCTTTTTTAAGAGGTAAAATTTAGCAGAACTAAGTGTGAGGTCCTACTGAAGGGCAAGTTTGGCTGTGGAGAATTAGCTACAAGGAACTTATCCCAGTTGTCATATGAATGCTACACATCCGAAACATGAACATTTCCAACGTAAACTTTATTGGGCTGCAGCACCTGGGGCAAGAAGGAGGCGGGGCAGATGGCCATTCTCTGGAAGCTGCTAGGAGGTGTGATGACGGACCGGACTGCTTCATAGTTATCCAACCTACTTACTTTTGAATTTTAAGTTTTTTTGACATAAAGCATTAAATTAGTTTCAGGTATAAAGCATATGGTGTAGTATGTATGTATATTGCAAAATTATCACAATAAGTCTAATTAACCTGTCTTGCATGGTCTACAAAGGCTCCATGATGGAATCCAACACCTCTGGAAGGCTGCAGCTGTGCCCAAGCTAGGCATCTTCCTTCACGGTAGACTTCACTCATGACTCTCAGGGTTCTGAACTGAGTATTTCTCAGCCAAAGTACTTGGTGTGATTCAAAAAGAATTTATAGCACTTTCAGTCAGGCTGTACCTTAATTACAGAAAGCCTCTCATCGCTGTCATCCCAGCTCACCAAACCTCTCTTCTCTGACAATATACTGAAATCCTATACTCCTCCTCAAGAGCTTAATCAACCAACTTAAATTCTCATTTGAACTTAAGAGTTCTTTTTCTTGTTATCCTAAGTAACCGCTTTATCCTTTGTGGTAACTGACCAATATGATTGCTCTTTACATATAAAATAAAGTAATATAATAGGGAATGATTTACAATGTCTTTTCTGTTGCAGAAAGTGCTTACAAATAAGATTTCTGTGTTAGTAACTTGATTCACAGAATTTTTCAAAAGTGTTATGCTGGGTCTTACTCCAAAAATCAACTTTAGTGGTAGAAATGGCAAAGAGCAAAGTACACAAAGAATTCCTGAGTTTCTTACCAAGCAAATGGGCAGGGAGACATCCAGTAGGGTTGATATAATAAGGGTAGGCCTTCATCAATTTTGATCTCACATACGCATGAAGTTGTTCATATAGCGGTTTAATCTGAAAAGCACAGGAAAAGCTCTAAGAGTAGCCTACTCCATCTTCAAGTGCTCAACACTAAAAGTAGCTTCTTTAGGTAACTAGAATTTCCCTAAATTCTAACTTCTCCTCTCAAATATTCCAAGTTGTTTGAAAACATTCCTTCCATCATCCCTACACTCAGTTTCACAACATTCCCACCTAGAATTTGCTTGCAACCATTTGATGTCAATTCCACTTCCACCCAACCCTGGGTAATCACTCATTTAATTTCTTTCTCTATGGATTTGTCTATTCTGGACAATTGCTATATATGGAGTCACCCAATTATGTGATCTTTGTGTCTAGCTTCTTTTACTTAGCATAATAGTTTTTAAGGTTCATCCATGTTATTATATGTGTCAGTAATTTATTTCTTTTTACTACAAGTAACATTTCATGGTATGACTATATCAAAATTTGCTTCATTTGGTGTCTCATGAAGAAACTCACCAGTAGATGGGCCTAGACTGTTTACGGTTCAGGACTATGGTGAATAAACGCTTCTATGAAAAATTCATGGTTAAGTCTTTGTAAAGCTCTATGTTCCAATTGCTCTCATACAGATGCCTCTGCGTGGAATGTCTACACCATGGTGTGTATTTAACGTTTTAAGAAACAGCCAAACCATTTCCCAAAGTGGTCATGCCATTTTACACGCTGTCAGCTGCCTGACGGTTCCAATCTCTCCACACCCTCACCAACACCGGGGGTTGGCAGTCTTTCTCCATCACAATCACACCATGGGTGCATGGTGGTTTTGAGTCACGATTTTCATTTGTATTTCCCCAATAACTTTTTACTTGTTTACTTGCCACTTGTATCATTTCTTTGCTGAAGTTCTTTCCAAATCTTTTGCCCATGTGGGCGGGAACTTGTCCTACTCCATTCTTTACAGTGCTGCCCAACTATGCCTGTGACAGTAGTCTCACATGAAGACACAGGGGTAAAGAGGCAACATGGTGTCAAATGGAAGGAAGAGGGGGACACTGAGAAGTGGCTTGGCACACTTCTGCTCACAAGACTCTCCTTCCCTGTAAAGGCAATGGCTGAGGAAATAAGCTCAGCACTTGTTTAAAGGAAAGAAGCAAAGTCTTCACAAGAAACATCCCCAGAGACTATTTCTTCTTATGTTCTAAAAGACCGTTCTTCCTGACAATCTTTCCTTCTTATAATCTCGTGGTCACTAACCACTGGTCAGTGGCTGAAAAAAGGGAAGAAAAGCAGAGCAATCTGATCACTTAAAAGAGCTGCTCTATTATTCCTTAAAATATTGTCAAGCCCTCGTAGTCTATAACTATGGGGCCTGGGAATGGCCACCCAGTGTTAAGAACAAGCCAGAATGCCTTTGGTCACTGTCTCCGCCCCTGTGCATTGTGTCCATGGTCTCTGCATACACTTCCCTGCTCACCTCTGCAAAGGTGCGTTCCACATCTTCAATCAGCTGGTTGCGGGTATAGCTATCTGTTTCATAATCTCCTCTCCAGTAATCCCCGTAGTCCTCATAGTCTTTTTTTTTTTTTTAAAGGAGAAAGGCCATAAGGGAAAGAGAGATAAAACACCATCTATGTAGATTAGCCTTGTTGGGAACTTAAAACCAATCCTAAGACTTGTCACATCTTAATCTTCTAAAGAGCAACTCAAAGGGATGCAAGTGAATAATAACCCTCGCTGACGTCTGTTAAGCACTGGCTCTGTGCTGGGAACTCAATTGCAGGGTCTTGTTTAATAAGCACAAGACCCACAAGATTGTGCAGAGCCCAGCCTGCCCGTCCACGGTTAAATCATCTGTTCAAGGGCAAAGGGTAAGGGACAGAGACGCAGTCCCACTGTGCCAAGCCTGGGTCTCTGCTCTCTCCACAGCGTGTTTTTGTCTTTTGGATCCCTGCGTTTTAAAGTTCTCTTTATCCAGGGTCTTATATTTTCTAATCAAACCCAACTCACACATTGCCAGGGTGGGCCTGGCAAATAATATCGATACACGGAAATAAGAGCTTGTATGTTGGCTAACAAAGTGTGCAAATGTATTTCAAGAATTTTCACTTTTACAGACATATTGGCAGTGGATGATCGTGAAGATGAGGAGAGAAATACAGATTTGGCGGGAGGCTGTGGTGACTAGCTGCTGGCACCAGCTTGCCTGTGGCTTGAGAGGTGATGGTGTAACACATTTAGAAACAACACATGAAAAAAAAAATTCTTCCTGGCCCTCCCTGGTGGCGCAGCGGGTTCAAGCACAGCACTGAGAATCTAAAGCCGCTTCCGCATGAGTTCGATTCCCGCCTGCCCCGGAGGAGACCACATGGCGTGGCAGACCTCTCCTGACC